CTTCAGAAATAATATATAAACGAGACGCATGTAAATTAATTTCTTAACATTTATATTTGACATATTTTTAATAAAATTTTCCTTTGACAGAATTTCCATTTGATAAAATTTTTATTTACTTCCTTTCTAAACTTGACAAAAAAAACAATTTTTCAAGTATAAATAAAAATATATTTAAAGTACATGAATTGTATACTTAAAAAATATATAATATATACTTTATATAGAAAGAATCGCAGTTATCGGAGAAATATCGTCTTTGCTTCAAAAGATATTCTAAATCGTTTTTTCCCCCCTTTTTTATCCACTTGTCAGATAAATTGTTATACATCAAAAAATGATGAATGATTCACGGATTTATTCACCGACAGTAGGTGATACATTTTTTCCCAAAAAAAAAAAAATTTAAATATTTACTACATTAGTTGCGCAAATTATAAGAAGATATTTGATAACAGTTTAAAATTTTATTTATTCAAAATTTATTCAAATTAGAAAATATAAAATAATTCAGGAGGAGAAAAAAGTTTTGTTTCAAAAAAGCATTTTAGTCAATAATAACTAAAAACAATTATTTATTTTATATTTATAATATAGAAAATCAAGATTTTTTATTGATTTTAAAAATTAGTATTATTAATTTTTGATTTTAAAAATTTTTAAATTTCTTGAATTTAGATACAAAACGTTAATTATGTTCTTTGTATTAATTATTATTATTCTAATTTTTATTTTTAGTTATATTTCAATTTTCTTGGGTTTTTAAAAATAAATATATAAACTACAATTAAAATTATTATTTTGTGAAAATTTGAAAGAAAATGACCTAAAAGAAATGTAAATCTTTATTTGAAGAGAAGAAAACAATGTAATAAAATCAACACCGAAGGAAGACGGTAAATTTTTATAAGATTTTTTTTATTTTTTTATTTTATTTTTTTTTGCTAGAAAAAAAAACATAAAATACTACATTTACTTTTTATTACTTGAAGGCTCCCGGTTGAGTTTTATGATCTTCAACCTCTCTTCTGACATAAATTAAATTAAAACCTCAACACCAACTTTTTTTTTCTTACCGTGCGTGCTTTTTATATGTCTAACAAAAATTGGTATCACGCGGTATAAAAATTAGAGTTTAAAAAAGAAATTACTCAATTTCGTTGTGTGGTATAAATTTATAGATGAATGGAAATTTTTAGAAATTCACTTGTCGTATTATATAACGTCGAAATATTCCATGGAAGTTCTCTATGGAATTTCCGTGGAGTTTCCATGGAAATTCTGCAAGTTTTTTATTTTAAAAATATTTTAATATTTCCAGGGTTGCCACAGGTCAGGGAAAAGTCACGAATTTTTATTAAAGTACTGAAGAAAATTGAATTTAGAAGCAGTTACGAATGATTGCAGAAATTCAATTACTTAAATCAAAAAGTAATAAAATAATTGAATATTAAAAACATTTATAGTATGAATTTTCAAAAATAATTGAATTTTGAATATTTTTGAAAATAATTACATTTTTCGAAAAATTTAGGTTCAAATTATATTAAAAATAATTGAAATCCTTTGAAGAATTTTATTATTTAGGAGAATAATTGAATTTTTGTAAAGAATTTTTATTATATCTTTTTTTAAATAATTGAAATCCTATGATCTATTTTATTATTTAGGAGAATAATTGAATTCTTGTAAAGAATTTTTATATTTTTTTAAATAATTGAAATCCTATGAAGAATTTTATTATTTAGGAGAATAATTGAATTTTTGTAAAGTATTTTTATTATATCTTTTTTTAAATAATTGAAATCCTGTAAAGAATTGTGTTATTTATGAAAATAATTGAATTCTTGCAACGAATTTTATTACATTTTTTTAAAAATAATTGAATTCTCTTGAGAAATTTTATTAAAACAGTAGATTTTGAAAATAATTGAATTTCAGCGAAGAATTTTATTATTTGTGAAATGTAATTGAATTCTGGCAAAAAAATTTTTGAAAATAATTACATTTTTCGAGGAATTAATTTAAAATTGTACTTAAAAATAATTGAAATCCTAAGAAAAATTTTATTATTTATGAAAATAATTGAATTCTTGCAACGAATTTTATTACATTTTTTTAAATAATTGAATTCATGGGAAAAATTTTAGTACTTGTAAAAATAATTGAATTCTAGGGAAGGATTTTATTAAAAATTTTGTAAATAATTAAATTTTTTTTTGAAAAATATTATGGAAATTTAAATTATTATAAGTTGTTAAATTTCATAAAGATTTGAATTTGAAATTTTAGGAAAATCATAATTCCTATGGAAGAATGATAAGAATAATTCCATGGAATTTTCCGACGGGGGTGATTATGGTATTTATAGATATCTATGAAAAGTAATTACATTAAATGCAATCTCATCGTTTCCTAAATATTAAAATGTATCGGAGAGAGCTCCCCCTCTCAAATATTATAATACTTGACTTATGACAGTTATAAATCAAGTATTAAGATAGAAATGCAACTATTCTTTTTTTTGTGAGGAGGAGAGAAAAAAATAAATTTTTTGACTTCTTTTAGCACACAGCTATATTGTCTCTTTTTTTTCTTAGTCTCTCGAGGAGTGTAAAAATTATACAAAATAAATAATTTATCACGTCTACATATAAATCTCAATTTCTTTTAAGAAATTATTTTTTCCAAATTTGAATAATAGGGAAGGAAAATTTTCCTGGGTTTTTCCACTTGACACGAAATATAATAATTATAATGATTTTTTCTATTTACTCTTTGCTTTAATAAAATTTCTATTTTTGTTTCTTATTTTCCGCATGCATTTAGAAAAAAATCGTTTCCTTTGGATTTTTTTCTAATTTCTTAGTTTCGTCAATGCTTTCTTTATGATTTTTGCTTCTTTGCAAAAAAATTGTAAATTTTAATTTTATCAACAAGTTGAAGTTGAAAATATTTTCATTTTCCTTTTTTTATTTGCTACAAAATAATAATTCCAAAAAAGATTGAAGCAATTTTATTTATTTATTCATGTAAATTTGACTAAATATTTTTTTTGTTTCTAAGAAAATAATTATTAGAAAAACAATTTTTCATTTTTTCTATTCGACACGAAACAATAATTGCAATAAAAATGGTAACAATTTTATCAAGTAGTTGAAATTTTAATGCAAATAAATAAATTATCTAATGAAAAATAATTGCAATGTAATATCTTTAAAGAAAGAGCTTTAGAGAGAAAATAAATTACAAATTTTTTTCAATTGCATCTGATTTATGATAAAAATATTATTGAATAAAAAATAACATTTTGCAATAAAAATAGTGAAATTTTTTTAATAGAGAAATTTTTTTCTCTTTTATCTTTGGAGTCATTCCATTATATTTCGACTAAAGTCGTTGCTGACTAATTTTAAAAAATTATAATATTTTGCAGGAATGATGTTAAAGATATTAGGATCACCGAACAAAAAGAATTTTTTAAATATTTTTTATATTTATTGTAAAATAAGCATCTAAAGTATATGAAGTCGTAAAAACTGTCACATTTTCATCTATTAGAAAATATTAAAGAAAACACATAATTTACTATAAAAATGTAAAAAAGTTATAATAATTTATTAAGAATGAATTGTTTTATTATTATAAATTGATAGAAACAATTATTAATAAGAAATATTAAATAAAAAAGGATTTTAAAGTTCACCTGCCAAATAACCTAATTTTGCAAATTTCATTCACTAAATGTGAGAAAGAGAAATCATTAAATTGAATAAAACCTTATGAAATATAAAGAACCTGTGATTAACTTTTAGTTTTTCTTTTCACTTTCTTCCTTTTTTCTTCATAAATGTTAAAAAATAAGCAATTAAAACTGGCACTTTGCTTATTTTCACGATTTTAAAATGCAAATAACTTCTGCCCAGAAAAATGAAAAATTACGAAAATTGGACAATAATTATTTGATCACTAAATACACTCACTGGAAAAAGATTTTCTTTGGTCCCGAAGCTATTTTCCGAAATAATTAATTTTAAACTTTTCACTATTTCTATCAGGTTAATACATGTGATTTTTTTAAAACTGAAGTTGGTTCAAAACGATTAAACAAGAAGAGCTAACTTCGTCCTTTAAAAAACACATGTATTAACCTGATAAAAATAGTAAAAAGTTTAAAGGTAATGAATTTGGAAAATAGCTTCGGGACCAAAGAAAATCTTTTTCCAGTGAGTGTATTTAGTGATCAAATAATTATTGTCCAATTTTCGTAATTTTTCATTTTTCTGGGCAGAAGTTATTTGCATTTTAAAATCGTGAAAATAAGCAAAGTGCCAGTTTTAATTGCTTATTTTTTAACATTTATGAAGAAAAAAGGAAGAAAGTGATAAGAAAAACTAAAAGTTAATCACAGGTTCTTTATATTTCATAAGGTTTTATTCAATTTAATGATTTCTCTTTCTCACATTTAGTGAATGAAATTTGCAAAATTAGGTTATTTGGCAGGTGAACTTTAAAATCCTTTTTTATTTAATATTTCTTATTAATAATTGTTTCTATCAATTTATAATAATAAAACAATTCATTCTTAATAAATTCTTATAACTTTTTTACATTTTTATAGTAAATTATGTGTTTTCTTTAATATTTTCTAATAGATGAAAATGTGACAGTTTTTACGACTTCATATACTTTAGATGCTTATTTTACAATAAATATAAAAAATATTTAAAAAATTCTTTTTGTTCGGTGATCCTAATATCTTTAACATCATTCCTGCAAAATATTATAATTTTTTAAAATTAGTCAGCAACGACTTTAGTCGAAATATAATGGAATGACTCTTTGTTTTTTTTAAATTCCATAAGTGAGCAGTTAGCGAACACGAGGCAAAGGGAAGTGCCCTCCCCTTTCTCATTATAATTTTATTAAATAAAAATTTACAATTAAAATTTCTAAAAATACAAAAAGAAATTTTTTTTTAAGTAAAAAATATTACTCACCTGAATGCCATTTGAAACACAATTGAGAATTGGATCCAGGGCCGAAAATTCGTTGTACAAATCCTGCTGATCACTCTCGTTTGAAAATAAAAAATTTACCACCTCCCGATTGAAAAAAAGAAAAATTATCCGAAAACTCGATATTTTTGAGTTCTCACTTTTTGAAAATGGGGGAAATAGAATTGTTTACCACACGATCGATTTGTTTCTAGTGTAATTATTATTATTTTTTTTGTAATAATAAATAATAATGTTAACCGTTAGTATCACAATGAATGATCGTTATTATATCTTATACTGTATTTATAGTGTTTAGATCACAGTCGCGAGAATTGATCAAAAACCTTCTTAATTAATTGAAATATATTTTGAAAATGATTTTCCTTTCCTCTTTCTCTCTCTATTCTTCTTTATTTTTCAAGCAAATTTCAAACAAATCGCAAGTGATTTTCGCAAGTTTCTTGGGAGAAGATTTAATTTTTTTTTTCAGGGGGAAAAATATAATTTAATTTTCTCTCTCTTTCTCTTTTTCTCGTTCTTGTTTTTCGTTTTCTTTTTCTCTTGGAATTATTATAACAGAGTGAAATTTTTCTATGAAAAGAGTAAGCTTGTGAAAAAATGCACTTTGTAAGCCATTGGATTTAGAAATCGTCTCTCTTTTTCCCTCTCATCGCTCCCTCTCTCGCTCTCTCATTGATTTCATCATCGGGTCAAATGTGTACAAAAATTCCGTTATCTCAGTAACATCCTTAAAATCCATGAACGAAAATTTCTCAACAAATCGACATTATTTAAATTACTTCCATTCTCTCGACATTTCATATTTTCATCCATCAATATTTCTACTTGAATTTGAATTTCCAATAAATTTGAATTTTCAATAAATTTCCAAACAATTTTAATTTTCCTCTTAACGTTCTCGTAGTATTCACGATTTTTCTTTAGAAAATTTTGCCAAATTAATTCATTACTGATAAATTTATAACTTTTTATATTATTCTTCCTCTTCTTGATCAATGAATTATTGATAGTCGCGATATTATTTTTACTCCAAGTATTATTGACGTTTGACACATTATCATTATTATTATTATTATTACTATTATTAGTACTGTTATTTTTGATCGTAAAATTATTTTCGCCACGCGAATTAATTTTGCTTTTCGCACTAAATAAATTTCTTGAATAATCCGTTAAATTTATTATTTTATGGTTTGAAATAGAGCAGTTGTTATTTTCGGATTGAAATGAATTGAAAGGGAGAAAAATATTTTGCAAATTATTTTGTAAATTACTTTTAATGTTAATGGAAGTAATGTGAAAATGGGGAATCAGTGTATTTTGAAAGATTTGATATTTCAAAATAATTTCTTCTTTGAGATGATTCTTGATAATCAGCATCCTTTGGAGCAAGGAGGGATCCAGTGTAATTTCTAGTTTTTTTTTTTTTTTTTTTGATGGAAAAAATTTTTCTTTTACTTGTTGTATTTATGTTGATAATAATTGGGACAATGGAATTTATAGTCGAGTTGCATGGTCTCTAGAGTCAACATCATCATCACGTGGTCCCAGCATCACAGCAGCATATCTCTAATTATCAAAGATATCAAGCAATTTCCCGGGAAATCGAATTCTCAACTCCAATAATCTCACGATGATATTAAATCTGCTACAAATATACCGTGTCTGCTCTTACGAATTTTTATCTTCTTTCTAAAATTCTGCCAATAGTTTTCATCTTAAAGATTATTCACAGAAAAAAGTGAGTGTTATTTTAACACTGAATTCGGTGTTAAAAGTGTCTGCATCAAACTTTAGCTCGGAAGTGTTATTTTAACACCGAAAATAAGGTAAATTTTCTATTATAGAAAATTTATCCTCACTAAAATTACCCTACCAAAATTTACCCGCATCAAAAACAACACTCGCTTTTCTCTGTGTTTTTTACTTTTTTCCCTTTTGTTAATGAAATTATTTTTTCCAACAAATTCTGAAATTTTTCACTAAATTTATAATTTTTTCGCCAATGTTGGAATTTCAAAATTTTTCTTTGTTTCAAATTTTTTTTCAAAGGTTTTAAAGTTTTTATTTCAAAAATTTCCTGATTTTGATTTTTCTATTGTATTTTTTCGTTTGGAATTGATTTCAATTGAAAACTTCTCTTGATTTTGAATTTTTTTTTTTCTGTAAATTATGAAATTTCTCTGAGTTTTGAAATATTTTTTAATGTTGCAATTTTTAGGCGTAATTTTATAAAATTTCCTGTTTTTGTTTATTCAAAAGAATTTTCTTTTGTTTTCACCGTTTGGAATTGACGCGAATTTAAAAAATTTTCTGGATCTTGAACTTTTACTTGAAAATTCTTGAAATTTTGGAAAAATTCTCTCTTCTTGAAATATTTTCAAGTTTCGAATTTTTTCTGACTTAAAAAATTTTTCTTTTAATTTTCGCTGTAAAATTGGTTCGAAATTTTGTAGGTTGTGCAGATTTTGAATTTTAATTCCAATTTATTAATTTCTCTGTTTTTAAAATTTGTTTTCCCAATTTTTTTATTGTATTGTTAAAAAAAATCCTTTTTTGTTTCAACAAAATTTACTTTTCGTTTTTTGTTTCCTCTTTTTCTGTCCTTCCTTCTTACATTGATTAATTGCTTTTTTAATTTCAAATTCTGTTCAATTATAAATCCTGTTAATTATAGAATTTTTCTTTTCTAAAAATTTTTTTCTGTTTAAATGTTTCCCAGTTTTAAAAATTTGACATTGTTTCAAAAATTGTTCTCTAATTTTTCTTTTTGTTTTTCCTTCTGCAATTGGTTCTCTTTTCTCTTTATTTGGGATTTTTTTCTGATTTCAGAATTTTCCAATTGAATTAATTTACTTTTTATTTATTTTCTCAATTCAAAAAAAGTTTAAGTTTCTTTAATTTAATTGAATTTAAAAAATTTAATTTTCTTTTTGGATTATTTTCTTTTCTATTTGGAAGATTTTCTACTTTTCGGAATTTTCCTTCTTTTAAAAGTATCCTCTGATGTTGAAATTTTGTTGGTTTTTGAATATTTTTTTTTTTTAAGTTAGTCTTTAATTTTGAAAACTTGTACGCTTTTAAAATATTTTCCAAAACTTTGAAAATTTTCTGGTTGTATTTTCCAATCTAAAGTTTTCCTTTCTGCCGTTTTAATTTCTCTTTTTGAAAATAATTCTGATTTTTAGTTTTTTTTCTAAATTTGAAAATTTATCAAGTTTCGCTTCTTTCGAAATTTCTCTAGATGTTGCAATTTCTTCCTTAGATTTAATGTCAAAAATTACAAATTTTTTTTGTCTGTCGCAATTTTCCCTTTGGATTCAAATAAAATATTATTTTTCCTATTAAAAAATTTATAAATTTTTGTTGTTATGTTTTTCTTTTCGTAATTTTCCCCTATTTTCCTTTTTTTATTTATTTGCGAATTTCCCTTGTTTTAATATTCCTGATTTTGTTTACTTTTTCCTGAGTTTACTTTCTCTTCGGATTTTTAATTCTCCAATTGCTCTTTTCAATCTTTCTTTTCTTTTGTTCAATCCTCTCTCTGCTTTTGAAATTCTTTTCTCCTGTTTTTGCCAATTTTCCCTCCTTTGATTTATGCAAAAAATTCCCTTTTGAAAACTGCTGATAAAAAAGCTTTTCTAATTTCCGAATTTCTCTCCTTTTCCTCTAATTCTTCTTTCTCTCTTTTTTTCTCTTTTTTTCTCTTTGATTTCTCACAATTTCATTTCAATTTTCCCCTGTGATTCACATCTGATTCAAAAATTATTGGGACAGTTTTAGTTTTTTTTCTCCTTTTTTGGTGGTCAATCAAATAAATTTCACCCAATTAATCGCGGTGGCGAAACGAACGAGAGAATAAAAATAAAATGCAAAAAAAAAGTCGATCACTCGCGCTCACTGGATCTCGCGAATAACACAGAATACTTGCCGCGATCTAGAAAAATGAAAAACTCGTGCTCCTTGCCGAGTGGCACACGAAATCGTAAAGCAGTTCCGGTAAATTGACACGGGATAAATTTTTTTCTTTCCTTGCTTCTCCAGGATGATCTCATGAGACTTGTGTTTATTTATTTATTTTTTTTTGGTTTCGAATTATGCCCGATAATTTCCTTCCCTCTCTAGTTGGACAAGAGGGGAATTGATTTTGTTAAAAATTTTTGATCTATTGAAAATTTTCCAAAAATGGGACCGATTTTTTTTGCTCTTTTGTCTCTGATCGATTTTGGAAAGCATGTCACACGAGTTGGCTGTAACAGTCCCTTTGGAGAAATCTCCCGTGTTTTTTTTTTGGGGGAAAAAAATTTTTCTTTTCTGAAAGGGTTTTTATGAGTGGAGGAATTTTTTTTTTTTGGGAAGTGTTGTGTGGGTGTGTATCGTTGAAGGGTTAGAAACACAATTCTCGATGTTGGGCGGCTGGCAGCCGGCCTCACACTGGCCTCTTCCGCCGAGACAGCAGCAGACTATACGACTCGCCCTGTGCCTGATCCTCCCAAATCAACCCCCTCATTCCTCGACCCTGAAGAGATCGACTTTGGCGCCGTGCAACGCCACTCCTTGTAACTAGGGCTTTTGTTTTTTCAACAACCCCCGAACTGTCAAAGAAGAATGAGAGGAGAGCTCTTCTCTCTCTCTCTCATCCTTCTTGAGTTTTGAAAGCACAAGACCCAAAAAGGCCAACCCCTTTCACGTTTCGGCAACAAGATTTTCTTTTCTTATTTCTTTATTCATTTTTTTTTCTTTGTAAAGAAGACTATTTTTATTAATAAATTAGCAATGTCACCGAAGAATCGATAGACGAGAGTTCAAAAAAAGGGTGTCGAGAACGATTGATCATTTTTGTCTAAAACACATTAGAAAGACATTATACATTACCTTCGCATGCAGACGGGACTTCTTCCTTTTTTCCTGTCCTCATCTCTTTCATTAAATTCATCAATTTCATTAATTCTACGCGAGGCATTTTTTTCAATCTCTTCAGAAAAAGAAAAAGGCCTGCCTCTAAATGTGAATTCAAAAAAGAACCTAATGAGATTGAGATCGTTTGATAATTGCAATTTTTTTCATTCTTCGTATAATGTGTGGATATAGTGAGAGGAAAATTAATTTAGATTAAAGTAGCGAATTCACATAAATTGGTCCCATTGCGAGAATTATCATTAATTATTTCAAAATTTACAATTCAATTCTTATATTCAATAATATTCCGAGCTTTGAAACTTGCAACAATTATTTCCTCAATAATATTGGAAACGTTGACAAAATTTAATTTAATTTTATACCTAATTATAAGATGTTGCCAATTTTCATAGTAAAATTTACTAAACACGTGTAATATTTTTAAATGAAAATAATTACAATACTTGTGTTTAATATAATCACAGTTTTTCTATAAGAATATCAAATGGAGACAAAAAAACGTATCAAAAGTGTTGCGAAACAACATTTTGATTCGTTTTATTAATTATTAATTATATAAATTATTAATAATTAAATTTTTTAATTAATCTATAATAATAATAATCATTGTATTTCGGTAATCTGTTAGCAGTTTGGAAAAGAATTTTTTTAAAAAATTTGATAAAAACACAATTCATTCGATAAATTTTATTATTTAGGAAAATAATAATTGAATTCTCGAGAAGAAGAGTTTTGTTAAAATTTTTGAAAATTCTAATTAAATTCTTTTTGAAGAATTTCTTTAAATTTTTTTTAATAAGTAATGGAGTTTCTTTAATAATTTTAATTAAAACACTTGAAAATAATTTAATTTTATGAAGAATTTCTTTCAAGGTTTTAAAAAAATCGTACTTGTTAAAAATTGAAATTTGATTAAAGTTGTATTAAAAATAATTGAATTTTTGCAAAAAATTTTACTGTTTATAATTATATAATTGAATTTTTTCGAAGAATTTATTAAAACTTTTGAAAATAATTTAAATCCTCAGAAGAATTTTATTATTTAAGAGAATAATTGAACTCTTCAAAAGAATTTTTCGTTTTATGAAGATAAATTAAATTTTTAGGGAGAATTTTATTAAAATTTTTGAAAATAATTGAAATCCTTTGAAAAATGTTGCTAAGATTATCATTAAAATTTTTGAAAAATAATATAATTGTTTTGATGGAAATTTAAATTCTTTGGAAGAATTTAATTGCAATTGTATTGAATATAATTGAATTTTTAGAAAGAATTTTATTAAAATTTTTGAAATAAATTGAATTTTTTTGGAAAATTTCATAACGGATTAAGAAAAACAATAAATTCTTTCCTGAAATTTTATTGATAATAATTGAATTTTTGATAATAATTTTACTATTTATAAATATAATTGAATTATTCGAAGGATTTATTAAAATTTTAGAGAATAATTGAATTGTTTTGAAATATTTTATAACGAATTAAGAAAAATTGAAATATTTTGTGAAATTTTTTTGAAAATAATTGAATTTTTGTAAAGAATATTAACTATTTATAAATACAATTGAATTGTTTCGAAGAATTTATGAAAATTTTAGAAAATAATTGATTTTTTTCGAAAAATATTATTAAAAATTGTTTTAAAAAATTGAATCAAGTAAATATTTATTTGACAGACAAGTAATCGACTATTTAAATCAAATGAATTCTTTTCAGTATAATTACAATTTATTACTTATAACTTTTTATTGATTTTTAAATTATATTATTATTAAAATTAATTTTTTTTGTTAAAAAAAAACTATAGTTAAAGAAAGTTAAAAACCTTTTTTTTGTTAATGAAAATTGTTAAAAAACGTTAAAAACTATTAAATTCTATAAAATTAAATTCGTTATATAAATATAATATATAATTATGACCTAATAAACAAACTAATTAAAGTTAGGTTTGTTTAAGAATAATAATTGCTTTACTAATTAGTCCCGGAAATTTGTTAAATTAATTAATTAATATGTATAACACAATTAATTAAATTTTTCCAATAATTATTGGAGAAAATATTTGGTGGTTTACCTCTAGTTAAGAATAAACGCGTTCATACATTTATGATTTATTGGATCAGAATTTAATTTCTTCAAAAGAATTTTCATTTAATTTCATTTATTTTATTAGTTGTTATATTTGTTAATTTCGCTTAAATTTTTTAGTTTAATAAAAATAATAAATACTATATTGAACTTAAATATTGATGAAAAATATTTAGTATTTTTTTCTCTTTCGTATTTTACTTATTTTTGAAAACTAAAATAAAAGTAATTTATTAAATAAATAAATAATTAAGTTGAATTATCGAAAAAGAAGTAAAAAGAATCGAAATTAAGGGGAAAAAAATTCTTTTTATGTTATTGTTAATAATTTTTAATTTGAAAAAAATTTTCCAATTTTCTTCCGTTCGTCGTATTTCTGAAGAATATTAAATATTAAAGTGGAGAATATGCTGACATTGTGGAAATGAAATTCAAACACACGATACAAAAATATTAATTTTTACCCACATTTTTTTTAATTTTTCGATTAATTAAATTTTTTTGCTTAAAAAGTAAAAAGAAAAAAATTTTTTTGCAGGATTACATTTAAATTTTAAAAAATATTTTTCAATTATCTTTTTTTAATTATACCTATTTATTTCATAAAACAGTAGAAAGTATCTTTAAATTATTGTTATTTTATTTGAATATTTAATTATTTAAATTTTTGTGGAGAATTTTTTCTTAAAATTGAATTTAGGTTGATTGAAATTTTTTTACTTTTTTTGTATTATTTATAGAATGTTCAATTATTAATTAATTATTCTTATTTCGTGATATTAAAAAAAACTTCCAATACATTATCAGTGTTTTATACTTTGTATTTGTACGTTCGTACTTCAAAGCATCGTCGGTAATTAATTATTTAATACTCTTCATTAGCTTTATAAATCTTGTGGTGTAAATTGTTCACAAACTAATATAAACTTTGTGTATTATTTTTTTTTTACTTTTTATCAAACCACTAAAGTTTGTTCGTAAAACTCAATATTTCTGCTTTTCATATTTTAATTCTCACTCATAAAAAAATTTCCGTTGCTTTTTACAATTATAATTATTAATTAAATTAATTAAATTTGAATTTGAATTTAAATTTAATTTAATTTAAATTTTAAATTATATAATAATTAATTTATAATTATTACCTAATTAATTAATTATTAATTGTTTTTTAAGTCATATCCTCAATTAAAATTGTTTACTGAAAATATTAACTTTTTTATTTAATAATTTTTCAATTTTTTTTTTAATTCATTTAATTCACCAATTTTATTTAATTAAATATTCTTTTTTAAAACGAATTATTATTATTAAGTTCTTTATAAAAAATTAAGACTTTAAAACTCGAATTTTAATTTTTTCAATTAATTAATTTAAAAAGATGATCTAATTATTTAATTCACTATCGGGAATAGATTGAATTCCCTTGTCGTTTGACGAATTTAAAGTCATTTTTCTCACAAGAAGAGAAAACATGTCAGATTAACGGGTCTCTTTTTTCTACTTTTTAATTCTTGATTAAAAGAAACTGTGATGTTCGAGAGATAATATCAATTCTAGTTGAGACAGTGTAAACAGCTCAGAAGAAAATTAAGAATTTCATTTAGCCAAGTTTTCTCTAAAAGCAAAATTTTCTTCGCACAAATAAAACTTGAATAAATTTCCCTTCTAAATTAAATGACAATTAATAATTAACATTCGAAAATAAATTATAAAATCAATTAATGAATTCAAATTATTTTTCTTCTATTATTTAATTTCAATAATTCCGAATTAACGAGAAAAAAAAATTATATTCATTGACAAGAGGAATTTTCTTAACATTTTTATCTGAGAAAAATATTTTTTAAGGATCTGAAAAAAGTCTTGGAAAATTTAAGAGGTAATTGTTCGCGAAGGACATCTCTTCTCGCTTTCATGGCCTCATCCTTTTATTTTATGCGCGAGGCTTCAAAATAAAAGACGAGCCAGTGTAGAAAAGACAAAAAAGAAAAGGGCCAGAAAAAGAATGTAAGTACTTCTCATATAAACTGAATAGGGTTGAAAATTGCTCTCCAACGTATTGTGCAGTGTTTTTCTTTCACATATCAAGTGATCTAAATGTCTTTTTCCTTTTTCTGTCAAATAAATTTTTTTCTTCCTGGGGAGAAAAAAAATAAATACATAAATTTTCACACCAACTCAATATGAAAATTCTCCCGAGTCCTTTTCACTGAGATTATTATTTCAAATCTCAGCAAAAGTCCCAATAAATAAGGGTTAAAATTTGACACAAAATTTCAAATAATTTAATTTATCACATTGTTGGTAAATGAAATCTAAAAACTAAATTAAAATTAACGCACTGAATGAAAATTACTTATAACTTTTATTATTATTAATTCTTTTTTAGTTTATTATTATTATTATTATTATTAATCACAAACGAAAAAATAAACTTTGAAATTAGTTGAAAATTGTTTAATTTAAACGAAAATAAAAATGAAAATGTGAAAAGCGTCGGGTACAAATAATCGACTGTTGATTTCCATGTAAAATATTGTAACTGGATTTACTTTAATAATCATTACAAGAAAACTGTTTACTTACAAACAAACTAGACTTAATAATTATCCGTTAATACCACTGGCCATCATCTTCACGCCATTTTATTTAAAATAGCCACATGCAATGATTGTAATTGCGTTGTCCATTTATCCAAAGCATTATAACGTGCGGCACAAATTGACTTCTTGTCAAGTTCCAATACTTGATTAACCTATTGAACAGAAAATGAAAATGCAATTTCATTTCGAATTGACTGTTAATTAATTAATCGTCACAATTAAAAAAAGAAAATTAAGAAAGTGAAAACATTTCTTTTCTCTTATAAGAAAAATAATAATTTAAAATTGACTGACTGCTTCTTTTTTACCTGATCAATACGTCCACGAATTGTATTATCCAGAATACAGGAAACTAGTAGACTTTCAACTTCAGACGCGTCAATGTTTAATTCTTTGCTGATAAAGGGGATGTGAATTCTAGTGTAAGGCTTAATTAATTTAATGAGTACCTGTAAAGACAAATGTAGTTATTATTAACACGGAGTTTTAAAATTATGTCTTTTTTTTAATAAATTAAATAAATCTACTTAATATTAAAATAAAATAAATAAATTAATTAATTTAATTTATTTAATTCAAATACCTGAGTCCTAATATTTCGCAGTAAATCTTCAATGTGTTCTCGAATAAAAGGATCGCCCATTATATTGCTTCTATTTTGTTTGAGAATTAATTCAAATTGATTAATATCATTGTTTTGATAACTAACAACAAGATTTGTCATGGCCAATATTTCTGGATCATTTTTATAGGGCTTCGCTTCCTGCGAATCAAATGGATTTATTCCCGATTTCATTAACCTGCAAAGAAAATTGTAATGTTTATTTAAAAAGAATTTTCTATTTGCGAATAAAATCGAAAAGTAAATAAAAGTCGATTTTTATAAAATTCAATTGTTCTTACATGTTCGCTAATACAAGATATTTTAGACAGGTTGTACGTCTCGGCGAACCTGATTCATCGTAATTTTTAAATGCTTCGAAAAAATCGGTGTGCGCTCGTTCAAATTCTCCTTCTCTCAAATGCATTTTACCGCCACATTCTAGAATCAATAATTTCTTTTATAATTGGAATAACATTTATTTTAGCTTTCATAATTTATTTTTCATAATACAGGGCTCGAACCAGTGAAAGTATTTAAAAATTAAAATAAAAATACGGATCAAAAATGAAAAATTACGGACCAATTAATGACAAAAATATAACCAGTCCGAGTCAAATAAGAGAACATTTTACTTAAAACTATAAATTAAATTTTCCACTATAAAACATGAAGATATCAATAACTCAATTGGAAATTTTCAAAGTACTTGAATTTTATGAAGAATTTCTTTCAAGTTTTTAAAATAATCGTATTCTTTTAATAATTGAAATTAAACATTTAATTATTAAATTTTACTAAAATTTTTAAAAAATGATTAAATTCCTCTCAGAATTTTATTACAATTTTTTAAAATAATTTAATTAATTCAAAGAATTTTACTAAAATATTGAAAATAATGGAATTCTTTTGAAGAATAGATACTTAAATTCTTTTAAACAATTTTATTAGAGTTTTTCTAAATAATTAAATTCTTTTGAAGAATTTCTTTAAGTTTTTTGAAAATAATGTAGTTTTTTTAATAATTTCAATTAAAAACTTTGAAAATAATTAAATTAAACAATGTTCTTCAACTTTTTAAAATAATCGTGTCTGATAAGAATTATAATTAAAAATTTGATTATTGAATTTTATTGAGATTGTATTGAAAATAATTGAATCCCTAAAAAGAATTTAAAAAATTTTTGAACATAATTGAATTTCTACGAAGAATTTTATTACTTTTAAAATTAATCGAATTTCTGCAATAATTTCTCCAAAATTCAATTTTTTTTGTGTTTTTAACTAAAATTCTTCTATAAATCCATTATTTTTAATAATTTTTGAAAAAATTCTTTAAGAAATTTCAAATTTATTTGTTTATAATTCAATTTTACTAAATTTCAATTATTCGGAAATTCTTCAATTTTATATAAGAAAATAAAAACTTTAAATAATTTTAAAAATAATCTGCAATTAAACTTATTCAAAAATTTTATTATTTAAGAAAATAATTGAATTTTGTAAAAATTTTATTTCCTATGAAAATAATTGAATTATTACGAAGAAATTTATAAAAAATTTTGTAAATAATTGAATTCCTGTGAAATTTTTATTACTTTAAGAAAATAATTAAATATTTGCGTAGAATTTTATTAAAATTTTTTTAAATAATTGAATTCTTTTGGAAAATTTTATTAAAATAGTAGTAATAATTGAAATTTCGACAAAAATGTTTTTTAATTTTTGAAAATAATTGAATTTCTGCGTAGAATTTTATTACTTTGGAATATAATTGAATTTTTACAATCATTAGTAATTTCTCTAAAATTCTCCAAATTATATCGTACAATTTACGAACTTTTACTTTTACGGACTTCAAACAAATTTACAAACCTTTACGGAATTTATGAACTTAGTTCGAGTTCTGATAATAGTAATTAGAAAAATATTACAAGTATTGCGAAAAATTGAAAAAATGTTACATACCTCTAATGACTCCCATAATGAGAGGATGAGGTATCGCACTCTTAATATGCAAACTCTGTTCGTAAAGCGTTTTTAGTTTCTTATTGTTCTTCTGTGCAGTGTACATTTGAATTTCAAGCGCATAAATTTCCAATAATTGAGTCCCTTTCTTTAAGTCATCTTCGCCATCATCGGTCTGCAAAATGACAAATTTTTCTTTTTTAATTTCACATATTACTAATAAAATTAAAAAATAAATACAACAAATAAATAATTACCAAAAAAAATAAAAATAAAACTTACATTGATAAAAAATCGGAAAATCTTATCGAATTTTCATCGAAACACAAATAATAATTATCTAATTTACCTGACAACTTTGATGCAGTTGTTTCAGTATTTTTGCTAATTTATTAAAGTCTGATCGATCAAAATACAATTTTCCTAATTTTGTATTCGTTTTGAACCACAGTCTATCGTTCTTCGCGTCCTTTAAAGCGTCTAAAGTAGTTTCATAAAAATCTTGCAACAATTCCATCTGAAACATTGAAAAATTCAATTTTAATCGTCCTTGAGAATTAATTTACAAATAGTATAATTACAATAGCAGAAATTAAAATTACAATCAGAATTGCAAAAATTAATGATTAATTTTATAATTAAAAATTAGAATTAAATATGAATTGAATAAAAATTTATTTTACATGCTAAAAATGTTTAATATACGAAATATTTACGTTTTTGGAAGTGCTGATATAATCCAAAATCGAGTTTATAGATTTTTCTGAATGATTTCTCGTTACTGCACTTTTAATATAGGTGAGCAGTTGCTTGTACCTAGTCATCATCTCCTTATAATTAGACTGAAATAATTTAATTAATCATTAAAATCAAAATCTATTTCTCCAGAACAATAAAGATTTCTTTTTGTAAACAATTAAAATCGAACTCTTAAAATTAAACTTACAAGTTTAAAATTGATTTTAATCATTTGTTTAAGCGCTTTAAAGCCCCATTCTCCTTTATCACCACCTTCCAAATCCAAAACCTTTTGAAAACTTTGTAATGCTGCTTTTGGATCATCTTCCTTTAATGCCTTACTATTATAGTACTGATTTTCCAAATCTACGTCTGGTTCGGAATTTGAATCCTCAGAATACTCCTGAAAATGTAAGCACACTGTTATCTCATTTGTGCAAAATTTGACAAAAACTAGAATAAACTGACAATTGACAATTATTAAAATTTCATTCAACAAGATACAAAGTTTATTATGAAATTGAAATTTTTGGAAAATAACACAAACTACCTTTTTTGGCAAATTTGACAGTTAATTAAGAAAATACATTTATAAAATACGTTAAATTATCCAAAAACTTAAAATAATCATTGGAAAGATACAAAATTTTATTATATAGACAAATGTCAAAAAATGTTGATCATATGCGTTTTAAAATTTTCAAAATTAAAACGGGAATTTAATGTTTCTTGTGACAAATAATAATAGATAATTGAAAATAAATGAAAATAAGAATTGACATTGATTTTTTGAAAGAGAAAAATGAAAAAAAGTGAATAATTTTTGCAATCTTTGAGAAATGAACATAACCTGTATGATTATGAAAATGGCTTGAAAAAGACGCTACTTAAATTTTAAGAATATAAAAACATTACCAGTCCATAGTCTTCCTCTTCTTCGCACATAAAGTCATCTTCCCCATCTGACATTTTGGAAAAATTTTGAAAATTTTATTTATATATCAAAGTAGAAATAGTATAAAGAAAACAGAATTTTCCATGAAAACATGAACCGGCACTATGAAGATACTATCTACTGTCGATAATTTAGAAAATAGTTTTTCTGTTTGTCCAAAACCAATGTTGGGCAACTACTCACGAATTTACAGAGCTTTACAGTAATTTACCAATTTGACACAATTTATTTCATTTATTTTGTAGATTTTATAAATTTATATATTATACATAAAAATAACCACTGAATCTTTGAAAATAATGAAAAGATTTATTTTAAAAATTTAGTTTAATTCGTTTATTATTTAAGAATAATTAAAATCAATTAACATCATTTTTGAATTTCATGGTAGACAACTTGAAAAAGTTAATTAATATTCAAAAAGTTTTAAAAGTAAATTTACAAAATAAATTCATTTAAGGCGTAATTTATTTATTTTTGAATTAAAATAGATACCTTTGGATTCAGATTTAATAACAGTATGCCTTTTTATTATATTACAAAGTAATAAGACTTTTAATTTTAAAAAATTCCTTGCAAGAATGAAACTTCTTTCTGTAAGAAGGTAAGGTTGGCTAACCTGATCGCCATTTCACAGTTCACAATTTTCAGTTTTTCGCGAAACGGTTGTGTGTTTGCTCCTGCTATTTTTAATAGTTTTTGAGTGTAAATAATTGTTGATTTATAGAAATTTTTGTGAAAGTTCGTTATAATTTGAGTGTCAGTGAATATAGTGATTGTGAAAGTGCAAAACAAAGTTAAAATACAGCGGATTACGAGATTATCAATCCGGCATTCCCGGCACCACGGTACGACAATAAGGTACTGTTCTTGACTATTTTTCTAAAAAAAATTGTTGATTTACCAATGTTTGTTCATATTTTACTTAAAATTAACCCCATAGATCTATAAAAGTAATGAAAAGCACAAACTAAAGTTATAACAAAGTTTATTTTTATACAAATAATACACAACCTCAAAATGTACATGTACGTTGGCGCGACATTCACACAATATTTTTGTCGAAAAAATCATTTGGCTTCTAATTTTTGCCATTAAATCTTTTCAATAAATATTAAATCGACAAGATTTCCTCGTTTCATTAGACTTTAAAGGAAATTCGATAGACAATAAAATATATTAAATTCCACAACTTTTTTTAACGACAAAAATGAGAAAACAAAATTGGCGGGAAACCACTTTTTTACAATATAAATTCTTTTAAACCAAAATTAAAATTATTTTTTCGTTAATAAGTGAAGGCATGTATCAAATGTGCTTAATGAGGGCGGAATGCCTTCTAATTGATTCAACAATGCTATTGCGTGTGGAATATTTTTTTGTTCCACTAACCTATCAATTAGTAATTTAATATTATTCTCGATTTCCGATATTGTTCGATTTGAAAAAACTTCTTCCAATATTTGATAGTAAAGCTCGTGCGATGGATTGAAGGATGCTGTTAAATTTTTGAAAAACAATTCTTCTAAAATTGGAGTTGTCAATTTCAGTGTCTGTAAAATATTTATAGAAAAACATTAAGTTTTATTTTCAGCTGTTTTTTGAAAATGAACTTATAAAATTTTCAAAAAACAGTTAAATTATTATATTAAAAATTATTTATCATTTATAAATACCTTATATTTTTCTTTGATAAAATTAACAGCGTCTGTATGAAGAGTTTGTTCAGTGGAACACAATTTTACATAAATTTGTTGTTCAATTGTTAACAATTCTTTTTCCCTGTCTAAAAATGTTGAAAGTACCTGAAAAATATTTTAATCATACAGATAATTTAATTAATTTATAATTTATTATAATAATTATAAACAATTTTTTTATAAAAATTAATGTCCAGAATAATTAAAAATATTATTTTTTATTTTTTGTTAAAAAAGTTTTACCTCTTTCGATATTTCTTGATCCGTTAAGAGTTCCTTAATTTCTTGAAATATTTCACAATTTATATTATTTTTATCAATTAACTCTATTACTTTTACCAGTAATTTTAGTACTGGATGTTTTTCGGCGCAAATATTTTCAATATCAATAAAATCCGGCCATTGTTTTAAGGTTTCTTTAAGTTCCGCATACTGACATTTATTTTCGATTTCGTTGAACATTTTTTCGAAAATTTGATAACGTTCCTCCTCGGTTGTTGCATTTTCGCATAAACTTGTCATTGTATCACTTCGTAAACTGGGAATTTCATCCATTGTATTATCTTTGGTTTCTTTAACTTCAGGAAAATCTCCCCAATCATCATTTTCCCATTCGTCCCATCCATCGCCATCGTCATCGGCATTATATGTTAAATTTTGACTAAATGTTTTTGTATTCTCGGTGGAAATATCGATATCGGCCTGATTGTCAGATAGAATATTTTCAACAGATTCCTTCGATGTTTTGTTATCAGAAAGTGATGAGGAAGTTTTTTCAAGTTCTTTTAAATTATTCTTTTTCACAATTGAATGGGAATTTGTTTCTCGAAAATCAACTTGTTCTTCGGAAATGGAATCTTCTATTTTTGGCGAATATTTCATGTTTTTAGTTTCTATTTTATGAATTCGTTTTTGAAGAATTGTTATGAATTCTTGATGATTTTCGGATTTTTCCACTCTTGACATTGCATTTATTAAAACAAGTGGATCGTATAGGAAAATATTTTTATCTTCTGGATGTATTTTTTTAAACAGTTGTAATGAAAAATAATACAACGCGAGTTGATCATTTAAATCCGTATTCGGTAAATTGTCAAACATTTCTTCAACTTCGTTCATTGAATTCTCGGACAAATTCATTAAATACGCTAAACCCAATAAGCAATCCTCGCTTATTACCTTTTCTCCAGATTCAAGAAACACTGAAATGAAAAATACTTTTTGAAACAATTCTAACGAAATAGCAATTTGTAATTTATAATTACTAATTTTTTATGTTAATTGGTTTTATAGTTTAAAAATAAATTACTCTAAGGAAACTTACGATGATTAACGTCGCTAACTTCCAAACCGTAACATGCAGTTTCGCTCAATAAGGAAACTCTCAATAAAGTTTGGCACAACTTTAATCGTGTATTAAATTCATTGTCATCGGAATATTTAGTGTATTTCGTGTCGAATTTACTGAATTTCGAATTCTTGTGTAACGATTGATAGAAACAGGGAAAACTTTGTATGTTATCGTTTACAATTTCTTCGACTTCATCTTTAGAAATAATATTTTCATTTCCTCCTGTTAAATTAAAGCTTAGTGCAGTTTTCCAAAAATCTTTATTCCCAGCGTTCCTTAGTATTCCAAAAGTTGAATTTTTCACCAAATTAGCTGAACTTATTACCAGTTCGGTTGAAGTTCCCAAAATATTTGGAATAAACTCTTTATTCTCAACTTGTGGCTGCAAAAAAGAAGAAATTATTTTTTAGTCACGAAAATTACAATTAGCCAAATTTATATTTTAATTATTCTTTCTCTTACAATTGGCGCAGGTTCCGGGAATTCATCATCACTTTTAGTTGTACTTTCCAAATCCTCATTATCACCAGGCATCCAGTCTTGTATGCTTTTATTCAAAATTTGTATTTCTAATAAATTCAAGTATTTCATTGTATCTTCCAAAATATCTGGCGTTCCATGAATTAGGGTGAAAGTTAAACAGCGTCGTCTAAATTTTAAATCTTCAAAATTTTCACTATTTCCTAAACTTCTTGCAATTTTCCAAGAAGGTTCATAATTTGCTTCGATCATTTTCTCCACTGATGAAGCACATGCACTGTAGTCATTAACCTAGAGAGAAGAGAAAAAATATAAATATACAAATTTTAATAATTGTATCCTTTTTTTATCAGTTACATTTTTTTATTTACCTCGAGAGCTTTTTGTGCGATTAATTGAAAAATTCTGCCCTCTCTCAATTTTGCATTATTCCGATGAATATGCAAATATTTTCCGAGATTTAGTAATTTTTGTCGATTTTTATAAGCAGTGTCCCAACTTTGTAGACAAGTTTCGATTAATTTTATCTTATCCTTTGTAAGTCTCACTTGAAGAGGAAGAATATTCGTATTGAATTCGTCCAAAATTTTCAGCGAATCAATAAGATTGTATTCTTCTTTGATTCGTGGATTTTCATCGGCGATAAGATGTAAACAAGCTCTGAAAATAGACAACAATTTTATTTTTTTTAAATTGATTCATTTACAAAATAAAAAATATATTTTCAATATTACTTTGCCAATTCCATATTCGTGTCATGAAGACTTTTTGCACTGTTAAAATATTCAATACTCGCATTCAGTATTAATTCTACAGCCTTCTCATAAGAGACTTTCAAAAGCGATTGTTCATTTTTCCTAACTTCCATCAGAGTGCCACAACTTTGAATAGTTGTCTTAGCACCCGATCTTAATCGTGCTGATAGACAAATTTCAAAACAAATTTCCACGTCCAGTGTTTTAAAAATTAATCCCTGCATCTCGAGCATGTCATTTAAAAGATGGGCCCAAGCTTTCTCGATAGGCGGTGGAATACTAAAAAAGCAAATTATTAATATGTAAAATCAATTTTCATTTTCCCACAAAAAAAATGTTCCTTACCGATTTTTCAAACCTTCGGACATTTTTATCAGAAGTGATCTAATGGCTTCTAGATTCTCTTTATTTTCATTAATAAAACTGAATGGAACACTAACACCGTAAGTGTTGAGAATTTTCACACATATCAATTCTCTTTCCAATTCTTCTTGTAATTCGAAATTCACAGACTCCGGTGATTCTTGTTTTGCAATAGTTTCGTGAATTCTTTTAGCATCTTCATACATATCGTTATTGGTGCAAGCATAAATACATTCGATAGCCAATGTCACATTATCGTTTATAATTTCCAATATATCCGAGTCGTGAGTTGTTTTCAAGTATTGGAAAAATTTAACAGGCCAACTTAAATCAGATTTGCTTATATGAATCATGTATTTACGAAGGAGATTTTCTTCCGAGTCGCTCTGCCCTTTCTATTCAATAAATAATCATTTATGATGAAATTAAATTAAAACAATACAATATCAAAAAAAAAAAAAAAAAATGGAAAATTTGGTTGCAAATTAAATTCAGTTCTTACCAAATATTTTTCTTTTCTCTTGATAAATGGTAATACTTTGTCCTTTAGATCATTGACAAACTTTGATTCTGACGATTTGCTCATCAGTAATTTGACTTTCTCTAAGTCAGTCAATTTTTTCACTTCAGACAGTGATAAAAACTCGAGACGTACTTTATATACGAGATCATCCAATGTTTCTAATTCAAAAAGTAAATTTTCCAAACCAAAAATATTTCTATCCTTGCCAATGTTTATTAATCCCAGAGCATAATCGACTATTCCGCATTGTCTTTCGATTTCACAAGCTCGCCATTTGTACCATTTTGTCAGTAAATCTGGACTCAAATCCGTACTTCTATTAAAAAAAACAAATATTAATTTACTTTCTATACTTTTGATAAAAATAAATTGTTGTAAAAATATCCAATGATTTACTTAAAAAAAAAATTCTTACCTGTAGGGAACCAATGAAGGGCACAATTCATAAATAATTGAGGTCTCGTAGTCGTTGTCGATTTTCAAGAGATGAGAAAATTCGCTTCTCTCGACCCAATCAATTTCACGTAATTTTCTTTGAAAGAGCAGAAATAATTTGCCTTCTTCATCGCATTTTGGCAGTAGATCTTCATATGAAAATGGACTGAAAGTTTCAGGGAAAAAACTCAAAATTGCTAGCCAATGGGGTATTAATTTCGATCCATAATACGTGAACATAACTTCAACTCCTTTGCAATTACATTCTTTGGCGAATCTAAAAATAAAAAAATATAAGGTTTAATATTCAATTCCTTTTTATATTATTGAAAATAAAACATAGCAAAAAGACTTTTTAAATACCCAATTGCGTTTTCAAGTGGTGAGAGTTGACGAAATTCTTCATAGAATACTTTATCGTATTCCGTTTGTGACTCGAGAATATTTTCATAGGTTGTTAATTTGTCCAAAAGATCTAGAAGCTTTTTTCTGGTTTTTATGAGTTCTTTTTGGGGTTCCGATAAATTTTCAAAGTCCACTTGCTCCAAATATTTGTTTATTCTTTGAATCTATTTGTTATATAAATATTATTTATTTATTATTTTTATTTTTCAAAATAGTGAATAGTAATTTTTCTATCAAACCTGTTTTAAAGTGAGACTTTCATCAAAATTAATATCGTCGTCGTCGTCGTCGTTGTCATCATTAGTTTCAAAAGATTTAAACCTTCCATCATCATCATCATTGCCAATAGCGATTAAAGTCTCCAAATTTGCACCTCGTAATCCAAATTTAAGTAATTCTCTCGCAGCTTCAAAATTATCGGGAACTCGAGTTTTACATTCATTTAAAACCCAAGATCTTTTGCTGACCTTCGCTAAATGATCTGAAATTGCGTTTAGAGAGAATTCCGATTTTCTCCATTGAGTTTGATAAACGAGATCTGTATCTAAATTGTAAGTTTTCGCTAGAGACAATGCCTCCTCATAGTCCTTGAAAAATAATTTTAATAAATTTATTCTCTTTATAAATCTTTAAAAATATCGTTACAATTATGATTTTTGATAATATTAATTCATTTCATTAAAACGTTATTCGCAAAAAATCACCTCGTTTTCAATTTTTCTAGAATACAATTCCTCGGGCGTTGTACTCTTAATTCCCAATATTCTATAAGTTCTGTGAAAGATTTTTGATTTCTTTCTTTTTGGTTGAAATTTTTCAATGTCCGTCATTGAATAGAGTGTATTCTGCACCAATCGAGTGGTGTAATTTAAAATTGTGTTCGCTTCTGCCTCGTAGTCGTCTTTTTCACTGTCAGACGATACGTCTGAAAAGAATATTATATTTTTATCTCGAAAAAAATTCTACAATTTAATTTCGTTTTCTTACCTGATTGTCCACCAATTGACGATTCGCGACTTCTTTTTGTGCTCGTAATAAATACCTCACAGTCTAAACACAAAAACCCTCGGCCGGCGTTTAATTCAGAAACTTGTGGTTGTCCGTACAAAAATTCGGGACTCGTTCCCAAGAGATTTTTCAGATTTTTAATCGAACAAACCGAAACAGAACCTGAATATCTTGCGATTATGATAGTCTGTAAAAAATTGGTTAATTATCGTTAGAGTAAAAATAAGAAAAAAATAGTAAAAATTTACCTGATCTGACCACCAGCCCAAATCCATGGGATGAAATTCCGAGAGGCCAAGGGGAAATTTCTTAAATTTAATCGTCTCCAAAGGATTCGTTAAATTGTATTCCGGTTGTTCATTTAGTTTCCACATATTTTCAAGTTTAAGAGTTGGCAAATTCCAAAGTGAAATGCAACCATCGGTATGTAAACATACCAAATGTTGACTAGTGGGAGAAATGCTCAATTTAAATATTATCGATTGCGCCTGATTTCTAATCGAAGGCATATAGTTCCAAATTGAAAATACAGGTTTAATGAGTGTTTGTTCTTCAAAGGAGAATGATAATTTGTAGTAAGGATGATCGTTCAAAAAACGCCATGACGATAATCCGACTTCTAAAGCAGTACACTGGAAAATTTCAAAACGATTATTTTTTATATCTAATTTTATCGAATTATGAAAAAAAACTTCATATCCAATTTTTATTTTTTGAACTTACTGTCAAATTGCGATTAATCGTATTGCCAGCGACAAACAGAAGATCGTATTTTTCGCTATAAACGACAGCATTGAGGCCATTTCGATAAAAATTTCCAAATGAAAATTCATGATTAGCCTCGAAATTATTTGACGACGAGATATAATAGGATTTTAATAAACCACTGTAGGATATACTGATAAATTCATATTCCCAAATATCACTTTGAATTCGTGGCTTTTTAAATATTGTGGAAGCTATTGAATCGCCTGCTTCTAAAATATGAGGATTTGGCGAATCTGTTTTTGGATTAATATTAAAAATATTATTTCCCAATGAATTGTAAAACGATAAGTGACCATTGCTTGAGGCTAAAACTAATATTTGTCCATCGGGACTCCAGGTAATTTTTCGCCACTGAGGAAATGCGTCTTTTGGCACTGAAAAATTTAGAAAATGGTTTCATTTCTTTTTTTCATAAAATTTTCCTCGTCAGTCTCAAATTTTTTTTTGATTCAATATTTTTATTTACCTGATATTTTTCCTGTAACTGATAAATACTCATCCTTAAGTTTTCTTATTTCGATTATGTTTTCTTGTAAAATTGCTAAAATTCGCCCATTGTCACCAATAGCGAATTTCCAAGATAGTGTGAAACTAACTTGTTGAGATATACTTTCTGGCAAAGAATATCGATTATTTAAATAACGTAGAGCATTCTTTATTGTTCCCGTTGGCAAAATTACCCCATCGTTTTTACATTTCTGAAAAAAATAAACGAAAAATAATTTCTATATAATTAAGAGTATGAAATAATTTTGGTGGTAATAAAAATAAAATATTTCTCCTATTTTTACGAATTCGTTAATTTCAAATGAATAAGACCATTCTTGAGCAATAATTGACAACTTACAATCACTTCTGGTTCTTGTTTTTTAACAAAATATTCTAAAAGTTCATACAAAATTGATTCCTCCATCATTTGTTCTTCTGGATTTGGACCCATTTTCTATCAAATAATTCTCACTACAGACAGTTTTCTAGTCACAATTACATTATATTTTTTTAAGTATCACATTTTTTGCGCTTCTAAATATTTAATAGTTTTTTTTATTAAACTTTATCACTTTTGACATATTGCATTTTTGAGGTTAGATTTCAACCCGCAGCACCCGCAGTAATTCAGAAAGTTCGTTTCGTTTGTGCCAATGGGGCATGTATTTATTTCATTTATTTAATTGTTTATATATTTAACGGTTAATATAAATAAAAGTTTGTGAATTATTATCTCGACTATGATATTTGAAAGTATTTATTTAGAAAAAAACGGGAAAAATGGAACTCGACGACACGTCACTGTTTTGATCGAAAATTCCGGTGCTAATTTGAGGTTAGGTGTCAATGTTGTTTATCAATTTATCTACAAAGTATCTGATTTCTTTATCTGATATGTACTTTTATGTCATTTTCATTACTTAAACTATTTTATTAACATTGATTAACATTTTAAATGATTATTTAACTTGATCTGACAATTATTAAAATTTGATTCTTATAAGTAAACAACTGGGTATTGTTTTAGAGATGATTATGTTTTTGATTTTTGAAATTGAATTGGTTTAAGTCAGATAATGTATCTCGTAATTTAAAATATATGAAAAAACGTTTTATAAATTTCATATAAATATAAAAGTGTAGAATATTTATATTTGGCATTTATTTTCTAAAATATTGTTTCTTTTCTTCAAACTAAAGATAATTTTTTACTTTTTACAAATAAAATGATTAGTAATTAAATGAATTAAATGAATTAAGTGAAAAGAAGCGATTTACAAGACTAAGTTGTTTTATTTTGTACAATTAGAAATGACAAAACAATTAAAGATCTTGAAAATTAATAACAAATAAATATTTAATACAGCAATATTACATTTTTACAACATTCATATTTTTCCTGAGATAAAAGAATCTTATTATAGTACATAATATTAGGTGTCTTTCTGAGGTAATCGCTCATTATTCCCCTTTATACAATATTTTCATTGTTCAACAATTATTTACAATTCAACTGTTCCAAATATTTTTTATACATATGACACAATAAATATAAAATTAATAATATATTCTCTTTTGTTTTTCTTGAGCGAATAAACAATTATTCAGACACTTATAATTTCAAAAAAGGAATATACATATTTTGTTTGGAGGACGAAAAATGATTAATTTACGAAAAAAAAAATACATTTTCACCTACCGACCCATTCGACATTTGGATAGCAATTGACAACTAACGTTTCATATTCCTTGAAAGCCTTTTCAATACCACAGTGTGGTATATAACAAACTTGATGATTTGGTTGTATTTTGCCAGCATAATACATACCGTCGATAAAAACTCTACCAATAAATAGTGGATAATTGTCTTCTGTTTCGCCTCCAGGTAGTGCATTTAATGGAACACTACCGTCCCACGATTTAATCCAATTTACCGTTTTTCCGCACAATACTTGAAAATTTGATTTATTCTGTGCACTTCCACCCCATGCCAATGTACAAATATCGCCCTCAATATTGCCCGGTGTCACAGAGCCTTCATGTTGCGCTCGGCCAACAAACGATCCACATTCCGATACTGTCACTGCATTCCTTGGCATTCCCAAATTTTCATTGTAATTTATCCAGTAATGATTTGTGTCCAACAATTGCTGTCGTATTTCCAAGCACTGTGTCTGTATTCCTGTAAACATTTATCTTTAGTTAAAAAATTAAAAAAGAGGAGAAATTGGTCATTTTGAAAATATTACCGTCGAGTACCCAACTTCCTGTTGCACCGTGAGCTGTACTGATACCAATGTAATTTATAATAAAAGGATCTTTATCTCGATAGGACATGAAGGCCTCGCATCCCTCATGGCCAACGGACAATACACCATTGTACCATTTCCATCTGAAAGCAAAAACAAATATTTTTTTAGTTTTCTATCTTTCGTTATTGGTTCATTTAAAACGCTATCCGAAAAAATTCAATTTTTTTACTTTTTTTCCGTTTTTTCTTTTTAAATTGATTTTTTATGAAGATACAAGTTGTTTTAATTTTTTCCAGACTTTCAATTTCTTACCTTATCCAAAAGGAACGTTCTTCTTCTTCGTTTAAAATATCTCTCGTTTCGACTAATGATACACTGGATTCATGATTATTTACTTTTATCGACGAAATTGTATTTTCTCGTTCGCCAAGGACAATCTATAATTATTGAGAAAAAATTCAAATTAAGAATATACCGTTGAATTAAAACAATAGGGTTGCCACAGGTCAGGAAAATCAGGCAATTCAGGGAAAAACAAAACTAAATTTTTGTGGTAACCCTGAAACAATAAAATTAAATTAAACTATAATTAATTAAGGCAATGTAGTAGATGCAAAATAATGGTATAATATCAAAAACTAACATGTCCTAAATAGATATTAATAAATTATTTAATATATAATGATTAATAAGTTATTAATATAATTATTAGTTAGTTACTAATTATTAAAAGAATTAGTAATTAATTATTGACATTATTAATTAATTATTATTATAATTATTAATGACAATAATGTGATGACTCAGCTCTGTCAAAACTATCAGTAACTATATAATTTTTAAGAAAATTATTTCAATAAATAATGCAAGATTTCGACATATGTTATAAAAGTGAAATAAGCCGTTTCATTATCTATGGTAATTGTCTTCTATTTTAGTATTTCTTTAGAGAATTTAATATTAATAATACTTCAAGTTAATATTAATTTGACATTTACCTCGTAAACTTTAGAATCATCCCCTAAATGTGTTCTCAGCGATATTCTTGCATCGTGACAGGTTTGAATACTTAAATGCACTTCTTGATTTGAAATTGGAAAGTAGCAATAATCCGTACTGTCAATTGTATTAGTGATCACTAAAATATAAAAAAAACTATATAAACAGTCTAAAAAATTAAAGTGATGACTTTATTTAATAATCTTACATCATATTTTTCAACATTTTTTTTCTATCTAATTTAAATTATTCTTTTTAGGAAAATTAATATTTGCAATAAAACATATTTACTACTTACTTTTTCAATGTATAAATAAATAAATAATTTTCTTTGAATTTTTTAATATATTGAGTCAGGTTATCAATTCCTTTCGTTGTCTCTGTAATAAAATTTATGACATCCTTTTTAAATGTCCTTGTGATATTTTATGTCAAATTGTGTATTAAATAAATTTTTAATTATAACACTTTTAGCACGTTTGTAATATTGTTGTTTGTGAAAAAAAAATAAAAAAAACAGCTGGTGTATTGGAAAGCGCCACCTGGTGAAAATATCGCAAGGCTAAAAAGCAGTGTAGCCAATGGGGGAAAAATAATTACTTCCGTTTAAAAACAGTAAATAGATCATTCTTATAAGATAACATTTTATAGAGAAGATAGATACTTAATTATCGTTTCCGATTGTATGAAACGTAAGTTGCATTTTTGTTATCGTTATAGACTAACTGGGTTTTTAATATTTCTTGTTCCTCTTGTAATTCAAATTGTCACAGTTGGCAACACTGGTTCGCTTTTTATAAAATCTATAAATCATATTACAGTCTGATCCTATCCATTATTTTTCTTGAACAAAATTAGTTTATAATCTTGACTTGAATTTCGCTTTTTTTTCTCTAGGTACTAATTTTAGTTGCTCACTTTGTCCCAAGTGTGACGAAATATTCACTTTATTGATAAAATTTAAAAAGGAATTGTCTTGAAAAACTTTAAAAAATAGCGTTTTCAAGTCCCGTATGGTCTAGTGGCTAGGATACCTGGCTTTCACCCAGGAGGCTCGGGTTCGATTCCCGGTACGGGAAAATTTTTGCACTTTTGAGATTTATTTTTTATTAACTATATCTTAATTAATTTTTTTATTTCCAATTCTAGAATGAGACGAATAAACATGCAAATTAGGTAGAAAGTTATGCTTAGATCATTTAAGAGAAATAAGTAGATTAGAAGATATTCTTAGGTCTTCATTCGCAAACTACGTCAAGCTTTTTCAGGCTGATTTTTACCCCCCCCCCCTTCGTCACATTTTTACATACAAAAATTTTTTTTTCCACACTTCGTCACACACAGCTTGACACCCCCCCCCACCCCTAGGAGTGTGACGTAGTTTATGAACGACCCCTGTAGACGAAGAAAGAAAATTACCCTTTTAATTTTTCCATATACCTGCGTTTTTAAAATTGATCCTCATTAAAAAAAAAATCCTTTTGTTATAAGGGTTCATTTTACCCCCGACAAATTTTAACAGGTGCTCTATTGTTTATTCTTGCAGGTAGAAAAACTCTTTAGAAAAACTCATTTGTTTATTAACCATACACATATACCTACAATTATCGCGTAGTATAAATATCGATTTTTTATTCAATTAACTTGACGACAATATTTCCTGTATTTTACATTCGTACATTATTAATAGTCCCTACTTATTATACGGATGAATTCGGAAAAGAAAAATCAAACATTAAAATTTATTTTTCTTTATTATTTCGCAAAAATTATTGGTTTGTGTCCTCTTGCGTTAGACGAACAAAACACTTGGAAATATTCCCTAATTTCAATTTTTTACTCGATTCTTCTTAGTTTCTTATTATTTCTTCTTTTTTTTAACGCTGTTTATACGAGGAGTAAATATTTATCATCAGCAGAGCCAAAAGTGTCATTTATTGTTGATTTATTTGTTTTTCAATTACAATGCATAACGGGCATTTCTTGTTGGTTATTATTTGCCTTGCGACAGAAGAAATTATTAAATATAATACAAATTTTTGAAAATCTTAATAAAGTGTCGGTTAAATTAGGTTTATTGGAAGTAAATCAAAAAATGATTGATAATAATATTGTAAATTACGTTTTAATTGTTAATATTTACGACTTTTTCATTCATACTTTCAATCAATTAATGTATTCAAAATTTTGGGGTTTTAATATTTTGTGGCCGTGGTTTGATTTAATATACATTCTTGGGACAAATGTTTTTCTATATTTTGTCATAATTTTACATTGTTTGCAAAGAAGATATTATTATTTAAATGCTCGGTTGGGAAAGTTGATGAAGAAACATGAATTTGAAAGTGATTTTGAAAAATTGAGGTAGATTTTTAATAATTTGATATAATAATTGCAATATTTTTCGGTACATATTGTAATTTTAATTGTAATTATTGTAATTCATATTACAATTTAATATTTATTTTACCTTAGAATTTCGAGGTCGGTAGATATTAGGTCCTTTGGTGAGTTCCATGAGACATTAAGTGATCTTGTTGAGGATTTAATAAATTTCTTTGGATTTCCGGTATTAATTACCATAACATTCTTTTTTGTTAAAACAATTCACGTCGCAAATGTTATATTATTGAATGTAAAGGAGAATAATTTCTTGTTTGCGACGAATGCTTTGTTTAAAATATTTTTGTACTTTCTACACTTCTTCTTCCTTTCCTCAATTTCGGAAACCATTTCAAGTGAGGTAATTTTTACAATAATTTACTGCTTTTATTTCTGTTATTATGAAACATTTTTTACATTTTGTTAATATTAATTTTGTGTCTCGCTTCGAAGAAAAATTACCTAAGAAGCAAATCATTTTATAAGATTATTTTTGTGTTACTGTTGCTATAATTAATTTAATTTTGCTTCTTAGGCTGCTCAACAAACATGAAAAAATATGCTAATTTTCGACGCATTAATTATTTCAATAAACAGAAAAAGAACATTAGGTATATTAAAATAAACACTATCTGGTAAATTCTCAAGTGTCACATCATTCAAATGAATAATTCAATTCAATTCACCTGAAAGCTTCTTTTTTAATTCCTCGAAAACGTGCGAAATTCTAATATACCCAAATGATATTTTTCTGAAACCAAATTGTGTTTTTTAATACACACTGATATGGTGGAAAAAAGAAAACTTTCCTTATCATTAGCCTTTCTCTATTATTATGGAAAATTAATTGGTCTATTTCCACTCGTAATGGAAAAGAATGGAACACTAAAATACTCTCAAACGGGAATTATTTATTCAATTTTAAACAGTTGTATTCATATTATTGCCTTTTTTCGATTAATCATTCATCGGGCACATATAAAATTTCCCATGGAAACTATTATATCAATTATTGCGAATAGTGTCAGTGTGACACTTAATTTTGCAATAACATTATTTTCGTGGATTATTTTTGCATTTCGCCAAAGGGAACTGTTAATTATTGTCAATGAATTCATGAGAACGAGTTTAATGGCTAGAAAATTGGGTATTTATGATAATCAATGGGAAATTGTGTGGATTATTAATAGACACTTGATAATTATAAACACTTCCTACATTGTAATATTAATTTTTGATAATGTTATTTATTCAATTTACACTGATTTCGATTGGATGTTGTGGATTCCTTATTATTTACCACAAATTATTGTGCATAATTTGATAATTCTTTTTATCACACTCCTGCAAATATTACAACGAAAATTCCGTAGATTGAATAAAAAATTGAGATATTTGTTTCTTGAGGATAATTATAATAATAGTGGATCATCAATAGTTCAATGCAGGTAAAAATTATTTTTTTTTGTACTTGATTTCTGTGTTTTCTTTTTTGGAATAAATTTTGAATGCGTAGGCATTCGGAAAAAATTTACAATTTCGGATATTTACACAATGATCTTGTCAATCTGAGTCTAATGATAATGGACGTTTTTGGATTTCTAATGTTGACACTTCTTTTATCACATTTTTTACACGTCATTTATGAATTACACGGAATATATCAGTGTGTTAGAAAGGATAATTTTCAAGAACAAGGTCTTTGGATAAGTGCAAATTATTTGATATGGTTTACTCTCATTTTACTCGAATTATTCTTCGTTGCAATTTCTTCAGGGAGTTTCATTAAAGAGGTTGAATTTTGTAACAAAAGGATTTATTTATTTACTTAGAGATATATTTCAAAAAAATTCAGTAAACTTTGAATTGTATTAGATTAAATTAAGGAAATTAAAAAACTTATATAATAATTTTTGTTTTAGGCAAATAATACAGGAAACATTCTTCATAAAATGTGGATTTACAATAGGCCAACAAATTGTCAAAAGACAGTGAGTTTTTTTCACTTTGTATTAAACTATAGAAAAGCATAGAAATAAAATTAAAAAGATCGCAAATAAAAATTTCACATTGTTATTTTATAGATTCGGAATGTTTCACAAATGTTGCTTCAAAGGAAATTGACAGTATCATTGCATGGTTTCATAAATTTAAATTATCAATTTATATTCAGGGTACGTAAAATTAAAATGAAAATAAAATTTCTCACCTTTTTCAAACGGAAATGAAACACTTAAAAAAAATAATTTCTTCGATTTTATTTGTGAATTAATAACTACATTAAATATATTTACTATTCACAGATTTTAGGAACTGTAACAACTTACTTAATAATTATGGTTCAATTAGATGATTATAAATCTGGTAAAGAAAATAATCATTAACTAAAAAAGAATATTTATAAATAAAAAAGCTTTTCTGATAAAGGTAAAAGAATTAAATTAAATCAATTAGTAAAAAATGTATTATAAATGTTTAATGATTAAGTAATAAATTAAATCATTATCTATAATTTACTATTTATGTATTATAATTTATACACTATATAACTAAATATTTATTAATCCATTAACGTAATTTTTTTAAAAAGAGTTTTAATTTTTTATACACTCTTTTTAAATGACTGTGTATAGTATTTCATTTCTTGAAAGGTCTTTCTGGATCGATATAATGACAGAACAATTTGTGTTATTGTGTTTCAACTTTTAGAATTGTTCCATTATAGAAGGAAATTATTATTTTATGTTTAGAGTGCAGAGTAAAATTGAAAAGTTCGAAAACAATCAAAACCATGGTGAAAATTTTATACGAAGAAAAATTATATTCTTCAGTTACTTTTCTTTATTACTATGCAAAAATTATAGGTCTATGTCCATTAAATTTGAATGGGAAATTAAAATTACAAACATCTTCTCTTTATCGCCTCTATGCAATTTTTCTTTCCATTTCGTATATTTTTCTCTTTATTTGGTCAATTAGGTTGAAATATACAATTATCTTTTCACATAAACAAATAATAGAAGCTACTGATCTGGTTGATATATTTGTTCACATTTCACAGTTAATAGCGACAATTTTCATATGGTTGACATTTGCATTTCGTCAAAAGAGATTGAAGAACATTGTCAAAAGTTTACAAACAACGATGAAATTTTGTCAGCAATTGAAAATATCGAGTAGTTCATTGAAAATTATGGGAATAATTCAAATTTGGTCATATTTTGTATTTTTCTATTTTACAACAGTCTTTATTGTTGATCAAACTTTTCATTGTAAAATATTCTCTCTCTATAATTTGATTTTATGGGGTTTATATCGTTATCCACATATCGTCATTCATCATGTTTATTTTCTATTTATCTCCGTACTGCAAATAATTGAACTGAAATTTTTACATTTGAATAAAATTCTCAAGAAATGTGGAGAAGAGGAAATGTTCAATTGTGCAATTTTTGGATATAGGTGACTATATAATTGTTATTAATTATCTTAAAGTTCTGAACCTTCTTTCTAAATATGAATTAGTTAATATTTTAAATAACAAAATTTATCTGAAAGTTCAAAACTCGTGGATTATTATTATTATAATTATAATTATAGAATTATATTTTGTAATTTTGTTTTACGTTTAGATTTTCATCGTTAACTGTTAAAAAAATTACAATCGCAAAACAGTTGCACAGTTATTTAATAAAAATTGTTGAGGATGTTGAAGATTTTTTTTCAGTACCAATATTGTTGATGTTAATGGTGAATTTTGTTAATACAGTTTCATCAGTTAATATAATTTATCATATAGTAATAAAAAATGCAGAATGGTATTGGATGCTATATTTATCATCGACAATGCATTTTCTTGTTTTGTTTAGTAATATTGTCGAACTTTTCTTCATTTCAACTGCTTCTGGAAGTATTTCCAACGAGGTATTTATAATTTTTATGCCGACTGATTTTTGTTTGCTTTTCAGTAAATTGATTATAGTTATTCTTTTTTTTGTGCAAATAGGCAAATAACACTGGTATTGCTCTTTGTAAGTTGTGGACAAATTCAAAATCAAATCGGATGTATTCGGTAAGATTTTCTAAAAAAGTCTTTGTGAGAATATTTTCTAGTTTGAAACTTTGATTTTAAAGTAAACTTTTCTAAAATTCGGATTGTTAAGAATAAGTTTTAATTTAATTGTAGAGATGCGTTTCGTTTAGCAAACATTTAGTTTCAGATTAAAAGTGTTCTACTTTATTTACTTAGAAATAAATTGAAAATTTCATTGCATGGATTGATCGATCTAGACTATGAATATCTATACAAGGTACAAATTTTCTTCTTCTTGTAAATACTTGAGATAGGTGTGTTTATTGCAGAAATACATTATTTTTATTTTCTTTATAGATCTTTGGAATTGTTTTAACATATCTAGTAATTGTACTGCAATTTGATTACAAAGGAAATTAGAAATTTTTCAACAAATTTTCCTGTTTTTTAATTCTTTTGAAAAATTCTTTTAAAGGTTTATTTATAACTTTATTTATAACTTTATAAGTTAATTTAAAAATAATTCAATTTATACCTTTAATAATCGATAAAAACTGATTTTTATACATCAACGGTGCTGTGTCATCACTGACGAAATTTCTGTCGGGTTTTAAACTTGCAAATGGATTTTTTTGCGGTTCCATTATTACCTGAACATTACACAATGATTTTATTGTCGCGATATCTTGTGGTATTTCCTTTTCCGTGTAAGCTGTGATAACAACTGGAATTTTTAAATTTGAAAATTTTTTTATAGTCAGTGGCCACGTATCGTTTCCGTTAAATCCTGTTTTTCGATAAAGTCCCGGATTAAATAGACAGACAATATCTGTTTCTGGTGACTTGATTTCATGATAGAGTTTTCCTTGATTAAAAGTAACGTTTATTTGTCTACCGCTATCACGACAGTATTTGCAAATTTTGATATTTTTTTGTAAAAAATTGACCAAAATTTCTGGTATTTGTAACTCTGGCCCAGTGAATGTCAGGGATAAATTTTTAAGATTCGGTAGATAGTGAAGAAATACTTTCTCCCAAATTCGAAAATTCCAGCATTCAAATTGAAATTCTGCGCCTATCACGTGAATAGAAATATTTTTCATTATTTGCCAATTATTAAAACTTTTTTGAATTGCAAGTAAAGTTGTTAGTGGAATTGTTGCGATGTGTGATAGACTTGCATATGAATGACAATCCATTTTTTTATAATACTCCGACGAGGAGAATAAATCTGATATTAAGTCATCCATAGATTCTGGTAGAGAATTTGCTTCCTAAGAAATGAGAACAAGTTTTTAATTTTAAAAATTGAATGTAACTTTTTGTTTTTATTTTTTATTTTCTGAATTTTATGTTGAATTTTAATTAGATTTGAATTTTATAAATACCTTGTAAATTCGATTTGGCAGTTTTGGAGTAACTGATCCATGATGTTTTTGAAGGTAAATAATTCTGTGGAAGAGTTTAAATTGATTGCACCATTGATTATGATCTTGTTGATGATCTTTAGAGCAATAAAAATCCATTTTACATTCTGGACAATGCATCAGATTGTTTTCGCTGTGACATTGTCGACATAATCGAGGGTATAGAATAATTTCCTTTTCCCATAAATCTAATTTTCGTTGTAAACTCTGTTCAATTATTTCTATTAATTTTACTCGAAAAGTTCTGTATTCATCGGGTGACAGATCCTTTGCTAAAGATAAACCCCTATTTTTACTGCAAACTTCTGTTAGAATTTTACATAAATTTCTATGATCCATTAAATTCTCCTTTCGGTGATTATCCTGAAAAGTAATTTTCAAGTTTTTGTATTAATTTCTGTTTTGTTTGTTTATTTATTTTTGTGAAAAAATTTTGTATGTTTAAATTAAATCTTACTGAACAATATGACACCATTTGACAATTTTCACAAGTAATTGATACATCACATATTTCCATGCACACTAAGCAAAGATTGTAAGCAAAAATTGTACGAGGTCGAAAATTAAATTCAAAATCTTCTTCTTCTTCTTCTTTAAAAATTATGTCGTTAGCATTTGGTTCTAGGAACGGAAAATTTAATCTTGCAATAATGTCAATTGTATTGTTCAACAAATTGACATTTTGAGTTGAAGTCTTTTCTAAATCATTTTTTAAAGCGACACTATTATTCGAATGTTGTTTTAAAACATTTTTTCTTCTTTTATCCTTTTTGCGACCCATTTTGTTTTATATGCTGAAAAATAAAAATTTGTCTAAAAAAATTGAAAAGCTTTAAAAATATAAAGAATACAAAATTAAAATTTATAAAAATTATGAGAAACAGCAAGAAAAAATTGTTAAAATTCTTTTTTATAACTTTTGAAATTCTTACAAATTTTTCTTGGGAAAATAAAATTATTTTTAGCTTTTGGATAACGTAATAAGATTATGTCACAGATTCACTGACAAAATTTTACTCTATGGAAAAAGCTGTAATTAATAAAATAAAGTAGAAAAAAATAAAAAATATTGAATTTGCACTTTTATCATAAAAATTAAAAATAAATAATTACTATTATTATTAATGAATAAATTTATATAATTATTGAATATCTCCTAATATAATTTAATTTTTAAAAATTAATTTATTACAAAATGATTATAATAAATTAAATTAATTTATTTACAAAATAAATCAACTCACCAAAAGTAAATTACAAAAGTGGAAAATCCTTAAATTGATGGCAACTTTAATAACATTTACCACTTTTTTACTATAAATTATTTTTATTTATTTACATGTAAATATTCAAATAATTTTGAATTTAATTTCCACTAATCTTCACTTTATGAGTCGTTTAATTAATTGCTATTATTAACTTGATGTTCAATTTGTAATTAAACGTGAAAATTAATTAGTCTTTAGTTAGTGAAATTTGAAATGAAAAACTAATAATGCAATTAATTATAAATTAAAAATTTTTTTTTTTGAATTAATTTTTATTGATTTCAATTTAAAAATAAAAATCATTCTCTTTGAATAGATCATTCAATGAGATACAAAAGACTTTGACTGGCCGTTGTCTTTAGCAAAAGGTAGAACTGCATTTAACTTCAAAAAAAGACAAAGATAACATCTCATGCGCCAAGTGAGAATGGGCACAATGCCCATTTAATTTAGAAACACTAAATGCAATTTTATTTCAAGATTTTCCATTTAACATTTTTTGTTTTTTAATTTTTATGTATGTATTAGCGCCATTTTTTCCTCTTGTCGTAGTCAATTGCTTGACCCCCCCCCCCCTCCCCCTCAAGAGGCTACGTGGTTTATGGATGGCCCCTTATGATCATAAACTTAGCTCTTGTCTATTTTAGCTTTAAATATATACATAGAAATTGAAATACAATAACGTCTTTTAATAGACCACATGTCTTTTTTTCCACATTTAAAATTTTAATTAATTTTAATGAGTTAATTATTAACAATAACAATTACTATCTAAAATATTTATTAATTTAATTAAAATTAATTTTAATTAACTATTTTCATTTATTTTTTTTTAAATATAATTCAGTAAAAAAGTTAATTACAAGTTATTTATATTTATTTCTATATATATATATTATTATTATTCATTGATTTATTTCATTATCTTGGTTTTTTTAGATAAAAATGATACATTTTTAATGTATGATCTACAATAATTTTGTTTATATATTAATTTTTTTTTTATTAATACTTTAATAGGTAGTTCTTAAACTAATCAATCAATATTATCTGTTAATTTTATCAATAGAGTGTTTAAAGTATAAACAATAACCAAGAACTGATAATAATTGAAAAAAACAAAAAAAATTCGCGCACTTTTGAGAGGCAAACCGTTTAGCCCACATGCAAGACTGGTTGCATTTACACCAATTGCCACGTGTCCACGTGTATGTCATGTATGTGTGTGTGTGTTTATAAGTTGTTTAACGTTTCCAGGCGTTCTGTCGGCACACCTTTAATTTGTCTTTTAAATATTATACGTAACAAAAAAGAAGCATTAGAAATTTTACAATTCTTCCACTCTGACATTATTAGAAAAACTCTTTTTCACATTCAAGTGTCATTCGATTATGGATAAACATGTAAACACAAAATTGAGGTACGTTTGTTTTTAAAAGCGGCTTTTCAGGTTATGTTTCACAAGTTCGGTGTATTATTTTTCATCACGCATTAAAAATATCACCTCAACATTATTATTTTTCAAAATCATCACACAGTAAATAAAAAGTGTTTTACATTATTGTGTCAAAGTTACAATTATTCATGTTAACGGACTCATTAAATAAGTTCATCGCTTTTAAATGGACGTGTATGAATGACAGGAAAATCATTTCTTCATTACGAGTAAGTGTTATTATTTTTCTTTATAAAATTAAATTTTGGAAACATGTGTATAGTGAATTGTAAAATAATCGTAAAATTGTTTATGAATTTGTTGAAATCGTTGAAATGATTGATTTCCTGTTAAAGTATTTAATAATACAGAATTTCAATTTTTTTTAGTGTGGATATATTTTTTTCCTTGTTTCTTGCATGTGTATAAATATTTGAATTGTGGAAGCTAAACATTCTTTGTGTTTCGTGAATAACATTATCGTTTATTGTTCTGAGGTAATAGAAATTGATTTCGAGAGTGAGACATGGCATTCTTTTTTTAATATCGGAGTTGGATAGGTAAAGGAGATAGTGCTTATCTTTAAATATACTTTGTTGCATGAGTTTATATGACAAATTTTGTAAAAACTGGCTAAATTATTTTTTTTAATAATATTTTCGTCAGAAAGAATTACTTCAATGTGAGTAAAAATTATTATTGTAAATATTCGGAAATTTATTTGCACGTGCAATATTTTGTTTTTTGCATTATTAATACATTTGAAATTGAAATTTGCTTGTAATATTTTTAGGTGACATTTACATTTTAATAATATTCTAAATTCTTAATACATTTTGTTGACTGTCGTTCTTTTAACAATTGCATTTCTTGGAAATTTTTAAGTGTTGGGGAAAATTTGTAATTATAAGTATGGTTAGTTTATTTTTTATTAACTAAATTTAGAAATAGATTTCAATCTTGAATTAAATTGGGTTTGATAGTCTCAATTCGGATTTTAACAACGAATCTATAAATGATTCAATTCGTGAGCTTGTCTGCTTTTAATTACATAACATTTGTCTGATATTTTAAATAAATACTTGTCTCTTAATTAATAGTACTGTGAAACTTGTTTGATATTTTTTTTCTGTAATCGTAGTTTTGTAATTTGTAATCTTAATTTTCTAGTATTGTGATTGTAATATTTTAATTTCATCTATTGTATTATAATCGATTTTCAGTAATTGAATGAGATTAAGAAGTAAGTATTTGATCAATATTAAATCTAAGCAAAACGGTGAAATATTGTTATCTTGGACAAAGCAGAATAAGAAAAAAGAGGTATTAATAGAATGAGAGAAAATGCGTTATCAGTCTAAGCGAATTTGTTTTTGAAAACAATTTTCTCTATTTAGTATTTACATAAATGGAATATTATCTAAATTGTCGTTTTTTTCCAGTGCTTTCTGGTGACGGAAATATTAATTTCAAGGACCTGAATCATGCAGACGAAGAAGCACGAGATTCAGGGAAAAACAGCAAGCTACGTCATAGAAAAGCAAGAAATTCTCTATTGGAAAAAATGGTTGGTTCAGGAAGTGGAGAGCCACTTGAACAGAATGTCGAGGACATTAAAATGGAATTGGAGATCGACTCGGAGAGCGAAAGCATTGACGAGGACACGCAACGACTGATACCGACCAGTTTACCAAAAGTCGATGTTAAAGGCCTTAATCATAATAATTCTGTGAATAAAACGACAGACAATTTATATCAAAATGATAAGGACGAGAGTGTCTGGTCCATTTCTATTCAAATGTTTATACCTTTTTTACTTGCTGGATTTGGAATGGTGGCGGCAAGTTTGCTGCTCGACGTTGTACAGGTAATATTTTTAGACAATTGAAAATGGAAAAGAAAATTGAATTTAGAAATGTGGGAAAAAAAGTGAATCTGTTTTTTCTTTTTCAGCACTGGGAGGTCTATCAGAATGTATCGGAAGTGTATATACTCGTTCCTGCCTTGTTAGGTTTAAAAGGCAATTTAGAAATGACATTAGCGTCACGTCTTTCGACGCAGGCAAATCTGGGTCATATGGACACAAGGAGTCAGCAATGGACATTAATTGTCGGCAATCTTGCATTAATACAATGTCAGGCAATGGTTGTCGGTATGCTGGCGTCATTGGCCGCCGTCGCTTTGGGATGGTTACCAGAAGCGAAATTCGACATTCATCATGGCCTTATTCTTGGAGCAAGTGCACTGGTCACTGCCTCGGTTGCGAGTTTTGTTCTTGGACTCGTCATGTCCGCGGTTATTCTCCTCTCGCGGCAAATGAACATCAATCCAGACAATGTAGCGACTCCGATTGCAGCATCCTTGGGAGATTTAACGACTCTTGCTCTACTCTCTTGGATTGCTTCACTTTTGTACAATGCGATAGGTAAAATATCTTGAACTACTTAATTATTTGACTATTAATTTCTTTATCTTCGTCTCCTGCTTTTCAACAGGGTTTTAACATTAATGTGAAAAATCAGTCAGGAAAAAATATAGAAATCAGGAAAAAGTCAGGGAGAAACAAAATTAATCTTTTACGACAACCTTGTTTAACCTTTTTCAATTGTTATTCAATTTTTTTCTAATTTTAGGTACAGCGCCTTGGATTGCGCCAACTTTAATTGTAATTTGCCTCTTTTTGACTCCACTATGGGGTTATATTGCTGCGAAAAATCCCTTCACCAAAGAAGTATTGAATGACAGTTGGACGCCAGTGATTTTAGCTATGATAATTAGTAGTTTCGGTGGACTTATTTTGGATTATACAATTTCAAATTATAAAGGTATCGCTGTCTTTCAATTGGTTATAAATGGCGTTGGTGGGAATCTCGTTGCCGTCCAATCAAGTAGAATTTCCACCGATCTTCATAAACAACAAGGAATGGGAATTCGAGAGATGCCAAAAATTTGTGTCAGTCCGTTTCATGTATTTTTTGCTGCAGGTAAATTAAATTTCATATTTCCTTCACCCAACGTTATTTCTTATTTTCTAAATGTAAAAAAAATTATTACTGCAAAATATTTTTTTTCTCTTTCAATTAGGAGGACACGCGAGAACAGCAAGAGTTCTGTTAATGATGGTGATACCAGGGCATTTAATCTTCAGTTACACTATCAGTTATTTACAAGCGGGTCATACATCCTTTACGCCTATTTTTCTCACTATTTACTTGATATGCGCATTTTTGCAGGTATTTAAATTTATTATTCGAATAAATGAAAACCGGCAAAGTTCACAACGTTTATAAATAACTATTGAAGGAAAAAATAGTTGTTGAGAAAAATTTGCTTGGAAAAATATTTTTTTCTTCTAAATTTTTAATTATAAATGTGAGAAAGAATCTGAATAGTAGAAATTTCACTTAGAAAATAATTTTAATTTCAATCGTAAAGTTTTATTGATTTCGATTTTATTTTTATTACTTAATATTTATTTTATTTATTATTACACCATTTTGCGTATTTCATTTACTTTGTTAATTTAATTCATTAGTAGTTATTAAAAAAATGTAAACAGTTTAATTTGAGTATAAAATGATTTATTGCAGGTTATATTATTGTTGTACATTGCTCAATTAATGGTCGTTTGGATGTGGACAAAAGGAATGGATCCCGATAATTCAGCGATACCGTATCTAACGGCAGCTGGTGATCTTATCGGAACAGCTTTTCTCGGTATTGCATTTCATATTCTTAATGCTATTGGTGATGGTGACTCGGACGTTGGTGATTGAATGAATGAAATATTTTTTTATTACTCTCTCTCGATTGTACTGGACATATCTTTACTTCTCGTAAAAATGTTATATTAGTCTTTTAAAAAGAAAGAAACAAAACGATATTTATTTATTATATTCCAGTTTTTGACGATATTTGTCTTGAAAGTAGGATTTATGTGAACCAATTTATTTTATTCATAAAAAAAGAGGTGCTATATTGTCTAAAGAAGTTTAATCAATTTCTTTTTTTTTACGAAAGAATATTTTTGATAGAAATTTTTGGACAAAAATAATTTGTTTTTGCTGAAGGAATACAGTTAAAAAAAATTAATTAGATAAGATAGCACTCGATAGTTGGAAATTTATTTTAGAAATTTGTTTTCTAATTGTCAGTGTAATATGATTTTTTAACTCTTGTGAGTTTAATAAGTCAATTTTGCATGTGTACTTATAAATTGTCTTAGGTATTTTTTTTTTTGAAAAAGGAACAATTTTTATTGCTTCTTAAGATTTAATCTTTTGAGCAGGATATTTTTATTCGAAATATTATGATTGTAATATTATATATAATATAATGTTTTTGTTTACTTGGATTTAGTAAGTTGTTTAAATATTTAGTTATTTACAATTTACATCTATTCTTTAAGTATTATTATGTGAATTATGTGAATGTAGACATTTTTGATTGTTTTCAATTTGTGTCACTTTCAATTTTATTACATTTATGTGCCATTTTCAGGCCAGAAGAAATTATAACTTTATTAAATAAAAGTTGGGTAAGAATTCCTGAAGTGGGCCCCTATTTTTCATTGGGTCGGTGGATTTTTCTCATTCTTATATGTTTCGATAGCCTATGATGGCATAATAAAAACTTGTAAATAGTTTTCCGAAATTCGAATATTTGCCAAAGTTATTCAAGGTCAAAGTTATTTGTAGCGTTTTAGTAAATAGCTAATTACTCGCGATCGGATGAACCGATTTTAATAAAAATTGGAGGAGAGTTTACCTAAAGAATTGTACTTTAGATAAATGATCAAAATTTTAATTAAAAAATATAATTTGTTTAAGTAAATTAACTTTTCAATTTTTGGGGTTAAAAAAAAATTTGTTCTCCATCTTTTTTTTGGATTTTTTTTTAATAATCAAATAGAGAATACTTTTAAGATTTTATTTCAACAATAAAAAAGTGGGATTCTCTATCACTTTAGAAAATATAATATTTTTAGTTACAAAATTTTTTGAAAAGTTAAAGAAATTTGAAGCAAAACAAATGAATGAACTAAACTTGGTTGGTTAAAATTGTCGAGTTTAGTTCATTCATTTGTTTTGCTTCAAATTTCTTTAACTTTTCAAAAAAATTTGTAACTAAAATATTATATTTTCTAAAGTGATAGAGAATCCCACTTTTTTATTGTTAAAATAAAATCTTAAAAGTATTCTCTACTTGATTATTAAAAAAAAATCCAAAAAAAAGATGGAGAACAAATTTTTTTTTAACCCCAAAAATTGAAAAGTTAATTTATTTAAACAAATTTTATTTTTTAATTAAAATTTTGATCATTTATCTAAAGTACAATTCTTTAGGTAAACTCTTCTCCAATTTTTATTAAAATCGGTTCATCCAATCGCGAGTAATTAGCTATTTACTAAAACGCTACAAATTACTTTGACCTTGAATAACTTTGGTAAATATTCGAATTTCGGAAAACTATTTACAGGTTTTTATTATACCATCATAGGCTATCGAAACATATAAGAATGAGAAAAATCCACCGACCCAATGAAAAATAGGGGCCCACTTCAGGAATTCTTACCCAGTTATAATTTCATATATTTTACTGTTCGGCTGTAAAAAAATCTATGTAGATAAGAAATATTTTTTTCATTAGTTCTTCTTTAGGAAAAAAGTATTAAATTACTTTTTATGTACTGAAATCTTTCACTTATTGTAATTATGTTACTAACAAAATTTCATTAAAATGAATAAAATGCCAAATTGTTGAAATAATGTTTCTTTTATTTAAATTATTGTAGTTTAATTATTTGTTCTTTTAATTTTTAATTAAAAATTGCAATCATTCAAATTTACAATTATTATTGTAAATAATATTTACAATATTTTTTTAAATATTTTTTTTTATTTTATAAATCCTTTTTTAAAGAACTAATTTTGTAATAAAAATAGTTTGAACGATAATTAAATTTCCCGCGGAAAACAATAAATAAAAATGGCGGTTGTTTTTTAAATGCAGAGAGCAGACGAAGACGACGTCTGTCAAATGACAAATATTTTGTGTTTACATGTTTCGGTTACCTGATTGATTGTTATTGTTTAAAAAAATACGTTTCCGATAAGAATTGAAAGGCGATAAGTAAATAGCAATTCTCCATGAAAGTGTAAAATAGTTTTCAGTTAAAATGGTTGTTATGAATGAGTGATAGAAAATAATATAACCTCAAAATCTTTTTTCCGGATTGGAAAAAATTGTTTAAAACAGTGCAAAAATATAATGAAAGATTCTTGTGAAATCTCTGAGAACTCATTGATAATGGACACAGGTATTGAGCCAACAAGACACAGATTTCCTTTTTGTGTTGTCTGGACCCCAATTCCTCTCTTGACGTAAGTAACAATATTTTTCATGCATTCAAACAAAGTTTATTTCATTCTTATTTACCTAATGAAAAATAAAAAATTCTTGTAATTTTTCTTTTTAGTTATCTATTCCCGTTTATTGGTCACATGGGAATAGGAACGTCTAAAGGAATAATTGTTGATTTTGCTGGTCCATATCATGTTTCTGAAGATTCCATGGCATTTGGATGGCCAACAAAATACTGGCAATTAGATTATGCAAAAGCGAAGGGAGGAGTTCAAGGATGGGATTCGGCAATTGCGGAAGGTGCAGAAGTTTACAGGGGCAGAATGGTAAAGTAAAACAATTAAGAATCAAATTTTTTTTTATGAATTTTAATTTCTTTTTTCTTTTTACAATTTCTATAGCACAACTTATGTTGGGACAACTGTTATTCTCATGTTGCTTTGACATTAAAATTAATGAATTACGATAACACGAGTCACTGGAATATGATAAAAATCGGATTTCTCATGACTATTTACGGAAAATATATTAGGTAAGTTAAAATTTCGACTCGTTAAATGTTTCTTGAGACTAATTTTCTAAATTTTCTATTTTAGTTTCCGTCATTTCGTCCAAACCTGGGGACCTTTCACTATCATCATCTCTGTAATTCTTCTCATCTACTTTTTAACATAAATTTAATTATTAACTATTTTCTACGATTAATTGTTAATTATTCTTAACGTTAATTAAGATAATTTTAATTGCGATATCGTTAACAACAGGCAATTGAAACAATTAATTTTTAATTATTCTGGAAAGTAGTTAATTTTTAATCAAAAGTGGAAACAAAATTCAAAGAACAAATTTTTTTTTGTTACTATTGAGACGATTACTTTTTATTAATTTTGAGGTAAATTGTTTATAATTGTAAATGTACGTGTATCTTATGTAAATATTTTAATATATACAGTTTATCTAAACATTTTCGAATGAGTAATTCTTTAAATTTTCTATTTTTTTAAAATGAACCAATTTCGATTGATTATAATTGTATTTTAGTTTAAATTTGAATATTATTAATAATTAATAATATTATTTATGTATAATTAGAAGAATATTTGTTTCACATGTCTAAGGATGAGGATTTCAATAAGAAAAAACGGAAGTACAAGCATTTATACTATAATAAAATATGGCAAATCCTAAAAAATACATTCATTAAAGTCCTCTCCTAAGGCAACTTAACATTCCGCGTTTTACAAAAGTATATTCTGTTTAATAGCTAGTGCATATATTTGTTCATTAAGACCTCAAATATAAAATATTTCTTTATGTACAGGCAACAGAATTTAAAATTAAAATTGACTATGTAACTTAAAAATTATTTCGATATAAAGAAAACTCATCACCAAAATCTATTTTTCAAAATTGTAATTAATAAGTATTTAATTCAAATAGTTATTAATTATATAATTATATTTTGGTGACGATCGTACCTTATTTTTAAATAAGTAATTTTTCGTGTTAAACTTAAAAAAAAGACCAGTCAAAAGTTCACATCGTTAGAAATACAAAAAAAAGACTAAATTATAAAATTTGAGCAACAAAAATTTGTTGTTAAAGTTAAAAAAAATTGTTTTCGTTTATAATTACCAATACTACAATTAATGTTACTACTAGGACAATAGTTATTGTAAACAATGTGCATATAATTCGATTTTCGTCTTCAGTTTCATTGAAATCATTCGACTTGTATCAGTTATTCGCACAATCCATTTCTGCGATAACGCTCTTTTCAACTTGAAAAGTGTAATCTGCATCATCATTTTGTATTCTTTCAATGTAATTTAAAATCTCATTTACTCGAAGTCTATCAATATCCATGTCATTTAAAATTGATCTCTCGAAATCTTTACTATATTTAAATGGTATTCCATTTATGTAATTGGGCTGACTGTCAATTTGAGGATTTTGTTGAATTTTGTTTTGTTGTAATGGCGGATAATATGGCATTCCACTTATCGATGGATATAAATTATTTCCTCTTGCATCATTTTCGCCAATACTTCCACCCGGATTACGTCTCTCGATGAAAATAAAATCATCTCCTTGCTCGACAGGTGTTGCCTCCTCCGGTGTATCAGGAGGTGAATCCTTTTGATGCTTCTTCTTTCCAAAAAGCCAAGACATTTTCTATTCGAAAATTTCAAAATATTGATTATCTTTTTCTAAACATTTTATATAGGTATACTTTAAGTACGTGTTAGATTTTAATTTAGTAACTAACTGATAAATTAATCATCTGAGTATTAATTGCATTAATTGATATCAATTAATACTCTAATTGGTATTAGTAAAAAATAAAAATTATAAAGATTATTAACACGATAAACACACTGTAAAAAAAATTTTCTGTAGATTTACAGTTTTGTTCAGAATTTTACAGAAGGGATTTTAAATTCACTACTTTTAAAGACGTTATTTTACAAGTTTCTGTAAAATTCTGAACAAAACTGTAAATCTACAGAAAAATTTTTTTACAGTGCACGTTAAAAATGTCAAATAGAAAAAACTAACCTCAAAAATGAACAAATTGACAGAAATTGAAAAGAATGAATAATGAATGTCAAAGAGAAATTCTTTGTGTGAATGAAATAATACTTATTAGATTGCACGTACTTGGACGTAAAATAGACGTAAAATAACAACAAAAAAACGTACATGAAAGGGAAATAAAAAAATATAGAACTACTTACATGCAATTTTTACAAGGATCTAAAGCAAACAATCTAAAACAAAGTAGAGGATACTTCGTTAATGATAACTAACCATATTGAAAATGATTTCCAATTATGGTATCACCTGAAACAATTAAATTCCAACTGTTTTGATACACTTTTATTTGCGTTTAATTACTGAAAAACTAACCCCAGAACCAGAAATTCCTGGAAATTCCTACTGCTGATATATGTCAGTGTAGCCAACTTGAATTTCTTTGTCAAGTTTGCTTGTAGAAATATATGTTTTAATATTTCTCATATTTTATTTAATATTTTTGATGTTTTAGTTATTTACCGTTATATCTATTTATTATTTGTATATGTTTATTTTTTAAAATTATTTATAATATTATTAATATAGATTCCAATCTTTTTGTTTTGAATTTTTCAAGTTTTGTAAATTGAGTTTTGAATGTTGGCACTACTGATCAGTAGAACTGCAGTGTTCAGTACAATGTCCAAGTGCGCGGTAATTGCATTTTATCCATTTTATTTACTGAAATTTCATAGTCAAAATTAATTTCTATAAATTCGTAAATATCATCTACTGTACTAATTTAAATCGTTTTCTAGAAAAATATTATCATATTTGAAAAATTAGTCTTTGAAATTTAGTCAATTTGGTCAACTCAGCAACTGTGGTGTCAGTTAGGTTAGGTTAGGAAGTAGTCAAAGTTCAGGATTTTTCTTGTTCAACAAAAGTGAGGAAAAATTAATATTTCTTTTGTCATTTCGTTTTGAATTAGTAAATTTTTCAAGTTTGTCAGTCAACGTGAGTGGTAAATTGAGAAAAAAATGAAAAATAGTGAAACGCATGCGTAATTAAATGAAAATTATGTTTTTGTAGTTGATGAAATTGCGTCAAGGTAGCGGTTCGGTCGCATTGTTTTCGTGATTGTAAATGCTCCACTTGTTCTTAGAACAGGTATAATTAGTGCTTCGTTTTGTGTCTTTTTTGTAAATGATCTTTTAGAATAATTGCAAATTGTGAATTTGTCACGTGTTCGTGAATTCAAGATTGACGAAGTCACTTCTTGGAGAAGGTCTTCGTCGCAATTATCAAAGGTAGGTCAAATCCAAGTGATAGGTTTGAATATTATACTCTTATTACCATCACGAGCGTCCCGTCTGTCACCTTTACTATTTATTAACCTAAAATTGTTCAATTTTTCATTATTACTGGAATTGTGGAAAATTTTCTAAATAAATTATTAACAATTGGTGTGTGGGTAAATAATTGAAAGTTTACATGATAATGAGAAAAATAAGTATTATTCACTTGTTATTAGGAATGAATTTTAGGAAACATATTTTTAGGAAAATTTCTTTTAATTGTGGATAGATAATTATGAATTGATTTTGCAGAGGATTTTTAATAATGAAATTATATTTCAAGAAGTATTTATATGTTTTGGGGCTTTATTTTGATTTGTTGTTTTTTTATTGTTTTTTTTTGTTCCTCTGGTACTCTTTCAAGGGATATTTTATTATTTACGTTATGTAATATTGAGACCCTATTATATTAAATTGCTTCATTATTTTACTTTACGTGATAATCAAAGTTTTAATTAAAATCGATTTAAATTGAATCCAAACTTGTAGAGCAAACGTTTTATAGTAAAAATAAAAGTAACCTGTAAATTTTCTTTATATTTCTTTGTTTTCTTAATTTTTACCATTTTTAGAATATAAACGATAGACAATTATTTCAATTTATTTGTAAATTTTCTTTATATAAGTTTATGGGAAAAAATACTGATTTTTGTTTTTGTTATGACAAAAGGTATAAAATAAATTAAATGAATGGAAGTTTTAAATTTATCTACTTGTAGTTAAGGCTTAAAATAACTTTTAACAATTATTGCCTTACCAGGAAATAGTTTTTTGTTTTGTTTTCTTTAAGCGATTGTTTACTGTTGTCTATACATAGTTTCAATTACTTTTATGATAATAATAAAAATAATTTATCTGTTCTTCTTTTATTTATTGTAAAAGAAAAAATATTCTTGGTAGAAAAATTCAACTAGAAAAAAGGGGAGAAATTTTGTATGTATACGGATATTTTTAGATTGAGGAAAAATTGATAAAATCTATCGGATAGACTTAATTTAAAAACTGCCAAGTCTATTGGTCGATTTGACATATAGAATACTGACTAATCAAACAGTTTGATTAGATTCTATTCGACGGTATCTGGAGGTCGACTTCCTGCATTATTGGTTGATGCTATTAGTGTGCACAAGTGACGAGGTGAAATAAATGATTGGCTTTACCTGCCAGTTTCTAAAAATAGATCTCTTCATGTCTACCGATAATTATTAACTTAGTTCCGATGTCATTCAAACTTTAGCATTCTTAATTTTCATAATATATATAGTCTATATCCAGACTGATTATTAACGTCAATATTTTTCCCCTCTAATTTAAAGTTAATTAATGTTTTCAAAATTAATTTTTTCCACGTCAAGATTTTCTCGTATGTTTCTTCTTTTCTCAGAGTTATTTTCGTTGGAATTTATCAGTGTGAAGAGTGAGTTTTTTTTGTAATTTTGCAATCTGGATAAATCGCGACTTGTTAATATTTTTTTCGTTGCTCGTCTCACTCCCGGACGAGGTAAATATATCCATGTGCGACAACTGTATGGACTTCCTCTTATCTTATGCCAAGTGGAGACCTGGTGCATCATCAGAAATCTCCGACACGTGTTTCACATTTTTCGTACATGTGTATTAAATGAAATACACTTCTTCATAATTGTTAAATCTTAATCACAAATCCGAAATTATTAAAATATGGAAATAAACTCAAATGGACAATAATTATTTTTAGAAAAATTATTTAAATTCCACTTGGATTTTGCTTGAGAAAACTTTGTGGTCAACACAAAAGATTTTAATATTTTTCCTTGTAATTATTATTATTTGAATTCAATTTATTTTTTAGAAGACTTCGTTATTATTTGTTACGCAAAAGAACTTAATATTTCTCTTTTTGTTTTTTATTGTTGCAAAAAAATAAAGGGACTCAAAAATACTTTTTTTTGTTGAATTATTAAAGTATAGAATGTTACTGGCATGTGCTGACAAACGGGAGGTGAAAAGAAAAATGAATTTTTCTCCTACTCGGATATTGTTTTAATTGTGTATTAAAATGTTTATGTTTTACAGGATCCAAGGTCGCATGTGACGTATACGGAAGGGTGTGGGTGCGAAAGGGTGGTCAATGCAATGCGTTGTGGAGGAACGACTTTCCAGGATGTCCAGTGATCACCCACCGACAACAACAGCTAAAGGTGATTTCTTGAGAATATTTTCATTTCTAAAAAATTAGTTTTTTTCCTCGAGAGGTGCATAAATTGTGTCGCGACTGCACTACTATTTTGAGTATATGCAAATTGTTTCGTATTGGTCACGAAAACGACGAGGACAAAGAAGCTGTCTCTAATAAACCGAGTGGGAGGCCTTCCTTGAGTCCCACCTCTTTTGCCAATCGAACAGAAATAGTTTAGCACACTCGTCCACCGAAAGGATTCAGGGCAAGTGTCTAGGAAAATTTCTCCTTAAAAAATCACAGAAAAAAAGACAAAAAAGACGAAAAATATGAAAATATTGCTGGAATTTAGATTATTCTTTTGATTGTTGTTTCTAAACGACTTAAAATCTAGGCTAAATAATCGATCAACATTTGAGAATATAATTTCATTTAGATTTCTACTAACGATCTTACTAAAGAATGAGAACATTGTACAGTATGAATACAAAGTAGTAAAATAGCTGCAGGTTAAAATTAACTATACACCTAATTGCTATTTGGTATCTTTGAGACTTTAAAGAATGTGTTGCAAGTTCTGAAGCTATTCAAGAAATTCTCATTTTCAAAATAGAGTCGTACAACATTAAACTTAAATGATTATATTAAAATGAACCACATATTAATATTAAAAAAATTTCCAAATTAATCATTTTGAAACTGAAACGTTATGCATTTTTCTAAATGAGTTAATAATTTTTGAGAATAAAATTTGAATTAGAAACAGAAATAAATTAGTTTCGTTTATTCGAACGTTGAGAACTTGTTGAAATATTTTTTTTTTATAAATAAAAGAATAAATTAGTTCTATTAAATTCGCCCTTAACTAATAAAATTGATAATATCAACTTTTTAAAATTTGTATAAAATATTTACACTTTTTTAACTAGTAAATACCCCCTCGACTAAAAACAAAATAGTAACAAAATAAAATTGTAAAAAAATACTAAAAAAATAGTTTAAAAACTAAATAGTAGGAAAGTTAAATACGGAAAAATTATATAACATATAATAATTCTAAAAAAGCTAAACTAAATTAAAAAATGATAATAACGCGTTTTTTGATCTTTTATTGACATTATTACAAAGGCACGTGTTTCATAGTGAATTTGATACACAATACGGAAACGTGACCCTAAAAGAGTTTCAGAAAGACACGTGTCAACAGGATTTCCGAAGAGAAAAGAATATTTATGAATCATTCGGTCCAGTAGGATTTAAAGTTTCTGCCTACTAATCAAATTTATGATATTCTACTTCTCGTTTCATTTGTTTTTTATCTAGTGATAAATAACAATTTCCCTCCTGACTAGAATTTCATCAATTTTTGTTTTTTTCCTTCTTTATTGCACACACAATCTATTTTTCCAATTTATTCACCAGATCATTTTTTTTCTGGATAAAAATTGTTTTTTATACAATATTTTCCCCTCAGATTAGTTTCATATTGATCTTTATATTTTTTATTTTCTGGTATAAAAAATTGTTAAACTCTTATTTCTTAAATTGTTATAATTACATATGTAATTATATAATTATTATTATTTATATTATATAATTATTATTATTTAAATTATATAATTATATTTAATTACATAATTAAAAGGCATAATTGAAATTGATGAATTGGTTAGTTTTCTATTTTGCAGTCTACATAAAAATTTGTTTATCAACACTAAGAAAAAAATTCTATTTTCATAAATCGAAAAAACTAAATAAAAAAATTCCAAACTTTAGTGTAAATTTTGTGGAGAAATTTACGTGAGTGAAATTTATTTCACGTTCATGATCAACGATTAAGAGAAAAATATACTTTTGCGCAAAAAACAATATTTTCTGTTTACAAATTTTTAAGTCAATGATCAAGAAATTTTGTAAAAAAAATCTTTAGACAAAAATTCGAAGAGAAAAATATTCTTTCTTCTAAATCAATGATTATAAATTTATAAATAATCAGACAATAGTGTAAATTTGCAAAATAATGTTTTTAAAAATTACCAAAGGTATTTTTCTCAATGTAAATTTGTTGATAAAATTGATCTGTAATTATTTTTAATGTATACAGTTTATGACCTGCTTTGTGTTAAAATTAGTATAGAATGTTTTACGTGACTTGGCTAATTAATAATTTCGCGCACATATAATTGACTATATGAATTAATAATGAGGAAATGTGAGGGAAAAAGTATATCCGGTGTATAACGGGAACAAATCAGAAAAATTCTGCTGCCAAAATCAACCTGGATGATGATCCTCAATGACGACCTATACGCGATAGTACAAGTGGTCGAACGTAATAATTCCTACGTCAATTTTATAATAATAAAGAAAAACTTTAAATTTTGATCTATTGTTTAATAGAGCAAAATTTATTTATTTTTTTGTCCCTTGTAACTAATTTTTACAATTGTTAAAAATTCTAAATATTATTAAACAATAATAAAAGAATTTTTTAAGAAGAATTTTTTAAAAAGTTTCTTTTTTCTGTAGTTTTTTATTTAAAAATTAATTTTCTTCGGTATATTAAAATAGAATTTTTTTCGTTAGTGTCCATGAGCACGTAGTTTTATTATTTTTTTAATTACGTCATTGTATGACGTAAAAATATTCAAATTTTATTGACAAATGAATAATATTAAATTAAATTAAAAATATAATAGTTTCTGATCACTTTATTTGATTATGATTTAGAGTATAAATAAAATTTTGTTTCCTAAAAATCAAATATATTCACCATATCCAATTATAATTTTGTGAATAACTTTTTATTAACATGGATAATTAAAATATATATATATATAGATAAAGATGAAATAAAATACCGTTTATGAAAACCGGTTCTATTAAACGTTCATTGCCTAAGCAAATATTTACGAATTAATTTTTTTAATTCATATATGTAGAATTTTTCATTTGCTGGAATAGTCAAAAAAATTTTTTTTCAATCTTTATAAATTATATACATTTTAATATTTTATTCCCTAATTAAATTATAATATAATAATTCAAACAATAATATTATTCTAAATATTTTTATTATTATTTATTTGCGGGACAAGCCTTTTCGTAAAGTGACCATACGTCCCGGATTCTGCGGGACTGTCCCGGATTTTTCCCCTTCGTCCCGCAAAAGCTAGCGTCCCGCAAAACGTCCCGCATTTGACATAAAATGTCCTGCATATCCCGGAAAATAGTTAAGAATATCCTGCATCTACAGGTTAGCACAGTAGCGTATATAAGTGTGAGAGAGATAGACTTCGTGATATTTTAAGAAAAATTCAATTGTCAGAAACATATGTGATTCAATGTTACAAAATAAGCATAATATAAATATGTAAATGTCATAAGACGCGCCTTTGTTTCAATTCTGCTCCAATTGACTCCTACAAATTCCCTGATTCTTTTTTCTTGTGACAAATGACCTTTTTTTTTTTTTTTTTTACTAAATCATATACACGGAGAAAAATGAGTTTGCTATTATATGGATAGCGAATTTTTAGCTATTACAGCTAATAATTAGCTGTTTTAGCAAAAAAAAAGTTAGCTAATTTAGCTAATTATTGGCTGCACTAGCTAACAATAATTGCTATCCATATAATAGCAATTAAGGTTAGCTAAGGTAGCTAAAAATTAGCTGAAATAGCTAACTATTTTTCTCCGTGTAAATAAGCGGGCGTCCCGCATTGACACTATTTCCATATGGTCACTTTACTTTTCGTACAAACATTAGTATTATTTTTTTTATATTTTATTTGTTATTATTACTATTATTATATCAAATGAATAGAAGAAAAAAAATATAATAAAATAATTATATGATGAAATAATATTGGAACCTTATGTTAGGGGACGAATTTGGAGCATTCTCCTGATAATGAGGGTTCTATTTTGTATATTTTTATGATTATAGCAAGTTATAGATATAAATAAGCAATTAATAAACTAAGTTTTTTTTCGCTTGCACGTGCGGTTTTTACACGTTAATCGACTATTTCCATAAAACTTGGTAATAATTTAAAAATATAATTTTCGTTATTTTGCACAAACATAAAAATATGACGAAACAAACATTAAAATAGATGAATAAAAAATTGTTTTTTTTTTAAATAAAAAAAATATATGAAATATACACGTGCTGCCCTATGACTGATATGAAGCTTTTCTTGCTTTGTAATACAGGAAAAATGTATATTTTTCTATTTTTTGTTATAAGAAAAATGTTTTTCCTTTACTTTTATCATTGATAATAATACGTAAATTATTAAATTCTAATAATGAATGTTTTTTGTCATTATTGTTATCTCCAATTTTTTGTGACGAGAAATTATGAAAATTTCTGATAGTATAGAATTCGTCATGAATATATGAATATAAGAAGAGAAAAAAAATGAATAATGAAAAATAAAATGAAAAGTGTAGAGCAAAAAGTGCGCCAGATGTATAAAGATGTGGGTGGATATTATCTTTCGATGAGAAACTTACGTGATTCGACAGAAATATATATTGTCTACTCGGTATGAAAAGACGTTCACAAACTATTATTAATCGAAATTGTCATGCCAAACTCTTTAAATAGATTTCTCAGTAAACTTAAAAAAAAATTTTCAAGAAGAATACTTTTAAAACTCATTCATCAAACTATTTTATATAGAATAAATATTTTCAAAATTTCGAAATTTTTTGTTTCAATATCAAAGTTTTTTCTAAACCAGCGGAAGTTAGGAAGATTTCTGTTTTATTTTAGAGCTTTAAAAAATTATTTTAAATAAAAATAATATTTCGAATTTAAATCTTTTTCTTGTAAATTTATTAACTTCTTGAATCATTAATTTTATTGTAGTTTTGATAAAAATTATGATCCACAAATTTTGAACGTTCAAATAAAGGAAATAAATAAACAATAAGTAATTTTTTTGATAGTGGCGTAAAATTATTCTTTTAAAATTTGAATTTGAAAAATAAATACATAAATTTCGTTGATTT